GGGACGAGTGACGAGCACGCGGAGGACAACGAGTGACCAAGTCGCGACGGACCGAAGGAGGAGGAGACTGGGGAGGAGGAGAAGACCAGACCGCCGGACGGTCGTCAGGAGGAGGCAACGGAGGAACAAACACAGGAGGAGACTGGGAGCGGACAGGAGGAGAGGAGGAAAAACCAAGGGCCCGCAGGCCACTCACAGGTGGGAACAACCGCCGCTCCAGAGGAAGCTGCGGTGGCGGCTGCGGCTGCTGCTGCTGCGGCGGGGGCTGCGGCTGCTGCTGCTGCGGCTGCTGCTGCGGCTGCTGCTGCTGCTGCTGCTGCCGCTGCTGCTCCAGAAGGTCCAGCACCCGCAGCTCCTGCCGCTCCCTCTCCAACCGCTCCTGCTCCTCACGCTCACGCCGGCGGGCAGCCTGGAGTCGTGTGTCGTGGCGGTGGGGAGGCGGAGTGGACTCCGCAGAACCAGGGTCAGACTCCTCAGACTCAGCACCCCCAGAACCAGCACCTCCAGTGCCCGGACCTCCAACTCCTGCACCCCCAGAACTAGCACCACCAGTGCCAGCACCTCCAGCTCCAGCACCCCCAGAGCTAGCGCCACCTGCGCCAGCACCTCCAGCTCCAGCACCCCCAGAGCTAGCGCCACCTGCGCCAGCTCCTCCAACTCCAGCACCCCGCGACCGAGTACCCCCAGACCGAGCACCGCCAGTGGCTGCACCTCCAGCTCCAACACCAACCGAGTCCACAGTAACCTGTCGCGGAAGTGCCGAAGGCTGCTGAGGGGACTGTGAGGAGGACTGCGGGGAGGGAGACGCTACCTGACGCGCGACCGAGGGTAGAGGGGTAACGTGGGACACACCAGACGGGGCAGGACCAGGGGGGGGCGGGGGTACCGGAGGAGCGGGAGCAAGAGGAGGAGAGGGTGCGAGGAAAAGAGGGGGAGGGGGTACCGGGAGACCTCGACAGGGGTACCGGGTGTAGTAGGACACGGACTCGTCAAAGTCAGCACGGGAGAACACGCGAGCACACAGATCCATCAGCACTAAAGTCAGCATCAACATACAAAGCATGCTGACGCGCATCGTCCATGGACAGATCAAAGACATCAATCTTACGGGCTAACAGACGAGACCAGCGAGGCGTGACCGCCAGAGGGCCCCAACGAGCCCGGTAGAGGTCGTCGAGGCGGCGGAAGCACCGCGCGGCAGAGTGGTCGTCGCGACCACAGAGACAGGGGCTGCCCGGCCCGGTGACGCACCAGTGGGTGCAGGGGCCAGCGTCACGGCGAGGGGGGCGAGGGGCCCAGCTGGAAGAGCTGCTGCTGCGGCCGGTGCTCCCAGGGCCTCCCGGACCCCACTGCGGCGGGGGACCCCAGTGCTGCTGCGGACCCCACTGCAGCGGGGGCCCCCACTGCTGGAACTGCTGCGGTGCCTGCCGCTGCTGCTGTCCCAGCTGCTGCTGCTGTCCCTGCTGTGGCTGGTGCTGCTGTGGCTGCTGCTGCTGGGGGGCACCGCCCCCACCGGTCGGGCCACCACCTGTGGGTGGGCCTGTCTGTCCTGCACCTCCTCCAAGGCCCCCTCCCCCTGGTGCACCACCGCCGCCGCCGCCGCCGCCTCCGCCACCACCGCCGCTCCCACCTCCACCGCCACCTCCACCGCCGCCTCCACCGCCCCCACCTCCCCCCTTCCCGCCCTTCTTGCCACTCTTGCCCCGTTTCTGCCAGTCTGCGGCAGAAACAACAGCAGTGTCCTCAGAGACCGACACAGCAGCAGAAGCACGGGTAGCGGTGAAAGTGGGAAGCTGAGGGGCAGCACACCCCGCAAAGAGACAGGGGGCCACCGCATCAGTGGCGGAGGCAACGGTGAGGAGACTGCTCTCGATGGTCCCTAGAGCAGTCGCTAGGAGGTCGATAGTGAGCTCAGTGGGGTGCTTCTGAAGAAGCGCGTCGCGGGCAGTGGCAAGGCGGTCAGGGAGGCGGGTGACTAACCAGTGAACAGTGAGCCACATGGGGGGGGGAGCAACAAGAAGCTGTGCGTCGGTACAGGCAGCGCGGAAACCGGCGTCAAGCGAGCGGAGGTGAGTCACTAGGTCGGAAACAGTCGCAAACGAGCCTAGGTCGGGAAACACAAACAGCATGAGGAGGCGACTGAGGGAGGCAGAGGAGGGGGTGGAGTAGCAAGCAACAATAGCCTCCCAAACCCCCTGTGCAGTCTCCACCTGGTCAAAGTGGGCGGCCTCAGTCGGGGGGAGAAGCTCCGACAGAGTGAGAGCGGCGGCTGCGTCACGCGAGAGCCACACGTCCCTGGCCAGGACCCGACGGTCGTAGTCCGCCTGGGCCGTAGGGGTCGGCTCCGGGGCGGTCGGCAGGGCGGCGGGGGACGGGGGGGCCTGTAGGGCACCAGACGCGTGAGCCCACAGAGTGGCGCCGTCCTGCCGCTGGCTGGTGAGGAAGCGCGTGGTCTGGCGCTGCCAGGTGCTAAACTCTATCGGGCGTCCCTCCGCGTCGAAACGGAGGCGACGAGACTCCATGACTGATGCCATGCTAGAGGCGGCTGGAGCTCGGCAGAGGCTGAGCTAAGAACGAGGAGGAAACCTACGGAGCACCAGGAGGGAGAACGGCGGAGTGAGAGGCTAGGAGCACTGAGTGACCTAGGCTAGGCATGAAACGGAGGATCTCCAGCTACAACGGCTAGGGGCGCGATACTAGCGGCTAAACGGCTCGAACCTAGGCGGGCGGCGAGAGAGAGCGGCTGCCAGCCGCTAGGTGATAGACCAGTGTCAGTAGAGCTGGGGAGGGCCCCGCGCACAAGGCGGTGGCGGGGCTAGGGCGCGTGCCAAGGGTGGGGAACAGGAAGAGAGGGGCGGGGGGGGAGTTTGCGACGGTGGAAATGGGCGGGGAGGGCGGTTTTGACGGTGAGAATCGGCGGGTAGGGCGGTTTTGACGGTGGGAATGGGCGGGAGGGCGGTTTTGACGGTGGGAATGGGCGGGAGGGCGGTTTTGACGGTGGGAATGGGCGGGGAGGGCGGTTTGACGGTGGGAATACGGGCTAGGTCGAAGGCTGGGGCGACGGGCTAGGGTGTACGGGCCGTGCGTGGGCAACGGGCAGGGCGCACGGGCGCCGCGACGGGCTGGGGCAGAGCCTACGGGCGTCGCGACGGGCTGGGGCAGAGCCTACGGGCGTCGTGACGGGCTGGGGCAGAGCCTACGGGCGTCGCGACGGGCTGGGGCAGAGCCTACGGGCGTCGCGACGGGCTGGGGCAGAGCCTACGGGCGTCGCGACGGGCTGGGGCAGAGCCTACGGGCGTCGCGACGGGCTGGGGCAGAGCCTACGGGCGTCGCGACGGGCTGGGGCAGAGCCTACGGGCGTCGCGACGGGCTGGGGCAGAGCCTACGGGCGTCGCGACGGGTTGGGGCAGAGCCTACGGGCGTCGGGACGGGCTGGGGCAGAGCCTACGGGCGTCGCGACGGGCTGGGGCAGAGCCTACGGGCGTCGCGACGGGCTGGGGCAGAGCCTACGGGCGTCGCGACGGGCTGGGGCAGAGCCTACGGGCGTCGCGCGGGCTAGGGGCAGGGCGCGGGCTAGGCGCGGAGGGTGGAGTGGCGCGGTTTAAGCACGGAGGCACAATGGGTGCGGAGGTGCGAGCTAAGCGCGGAGGGCGCGGAGGGCGCGGAGGGCGCGAGCTAGGCGCGGAGGGCGCGGAGGGTGAACACTAGGCTAGGAACGGTCCTGCTCGTGATACCATCTCAAGAGTGGTTAGCAACGGAATGGTTGGAATAGAAACGAATGGGGTACAAATAAGCAACCCTAGAAACTGTACCCCCTAGAGTGCAACTCACTACAGCCTATCATATCAATGTTCAACATTTGACATAAGGCCGCGACTGGAGGCGTGACGAGCGCCGTGAGCGGAGAGGGAATGAGTGGGCCCGTTATATGCAGTTATACAAACATATATATCAATTTTATATTCTGACAAATGTTTGACCCTGTTACGTTCAGGAATGTCAAGTAGATTCCTTACCGTAACAGAAGGTGCACCAGTTCAAATTATGATGACATGATTTTGGCATTGTTAGCATTTGGTCTCAAAATACTTGTAGAGTGACACCTACATTACTTTGTACGGAGCGTTCTCAGGTCACGGTAAATTTGTTACCACAAGCCCTGCGAACCTCTATTTTCGCCTCGCATGCCATGAGCGACTCGGTTGGCCTTGCAGTTTGCGGCGCGTTCCCTAGCATCAGTGGCTGATTGGCAAGGGCTGGAAAGCAGTTTCGGGAAGCTGTCGTGACGGGTCGTTTCGAAACACTACGATCACCATCGGATCTGAAGCATCGACGGTAAAGCGTGCTTGACACTGTAACGAATGCGAACGCTCGTGCCATTTCAGCAGGTAAGGATGACCTCCCTCGAGCTTTCCGTGCGCGGGAGGGCCTTCCCTCGTTCTTCTCGCTGCAGAACATCCTTGACCACCTGAGGCAATTGGGTTGGGTTGGGTTCCTTCTTCCCTCTTTTTGGCGCCTCCGCCAAAATCCCTTCGATTTTCCTCGCATGCGTTGCGCTCAAATTCCCCCCTCCCCTACCACTTCTGTTCGCGCCACAGTTGCGCGGTTCCTTGTCACCCTGTCCGTTCCGCCACCACCACACACGCGTTACGCCACGAAATACTTTCCTCATGGGCGCTGCTTTTGGGTGATAGACAGACCCGCCCTAGCATCTAGACACTGTATGCTTTCGCAGGCCACGCGCCAACCGCCAAGGGTAGGAGGAGCCGTATAGACGTAGGAGCATGGGCGAGCGTTCGATGTCGTCCGCCTATAATTACGACGCCCCAAGGGTCAGACAGAGCCTGGCACTCGACGCCACTATGAATGTCCAGCAAGGCTTTCGCGGCGCAATTGTGAAATGAGACGCGTAATGGTAACAGCGCTTTTGTAACCGGTAACTTAGGGCATCCCTCGAGGGAATATCGAATCTTAGCAACGCAGCGCGCGAGTAGGCCACGATGATGACGGCGGCGGAGTTGGCGGCGTCCGGTTGGGCGGACAACGGGTCCCTGGGCTGGCCGCTGCAGGTCGTGCCGCGCGATGTGCGCGACGACTTGGATGTCCTCGCGAGCATGGAGAAGCAGCAACGGTGAGTGGCGACGAACCATGGCAAATGGGGAAACAGACGGAGCGACCAGAGACATAATCCCATTCGTGCAATTGCCGTAGTCGTTCCTGAAATTATTGCAATCGCTCCCCCGACCCCACGTTTTCACGTGCCGACGTCCCTACGTTTCAACATGCCCACACCTCCCGCTCCCCACCCCTTCCGCCCCCCGTCCCCCTCCCTGTCCCCACACGACCCTTTTCATGCGTGCAGGGGTCTTCACGTGAAGACCACTCGCAGCGCCATTCCGATCCACGCGCCCGCGCAGCCCGCCACTCCGCGCACTCCGCGCACTCCCGTCGCGCCGACCCCGCGAGACTCATTTCAGTCACCTCCGATGCTACCCCGCCACCACAGCGGCCCGATAGAGCCATCCTCGCTACAGTCACCCATTTACTGTCACACACCGCAGCAGCTGAAGCGGGACCCGTTAGAACGACACATGTCAGACGAGCCAACAGCCTCCCCGCTCCCCGGCTCCGCCAACTCCCCCCGGACAAGCGCATCGGGGGGTATTTCCGGACTGCTCGCAGGGCTGTACGTCCGGGCTCCCGTTGCCGAGCCTGATGCCGAAGCTCGGGGCAGGTCCGGGTCCCGCTCTCCGCTTCGGCTGCGCATGTTCGACACATCCCCAAAGCCGCGGAGACCCATCGAGCGCGGGCGATCGCTCTCCCCGTACAGAGGCCCGCGGATGGGCGCGGAAGCCGACGGGGAACAGGGTAGCGGCGGGGGCGGGAGCGTGCGGGGAAGCATGCGCGGAAGCGTGGGCGGAAGCGGGGTGTGGGAGGCGGCTGGCGCGGGAAGCTCGTCCGCAAGAGGCAGCCGCGCGGGTTCCGTTTCCCCGCTCCCCTCTCGCTCCCCCTTGCGCCGGTCGGTCTCCCCTCTGCGTGCTAGCGCTGGCGGGTTGATAGACATGCTATCCGGCCCCGTCACCCCCTCCGCCACGCCCTCCCGCCGCTTCCAGGCGCAGCAGGAGCGCGAGTGGGAGGAGCGCCAGCAGCGGCGGGAGCAGGAGCAGGCGGAGGCGGGAGGGTTGCCGTTTGAGAGCATCGTCGCGGGCGCGAGAGACAGGAGCGCGCGGCAACACGCGCGCAGCAGCAGCAGCAGCAGCGTTCTCTGCGGCGCGAACGGCGGCGGATTGAGCGGCGTGGGAGGGGCAGCTGTGGCGGATTCGGGCGAGATTTCCGTAATCTCCGGGGGTTTCGGCCAGGACCAGCATACGCAGCAGGAACAGGGAGCATCAGCGGCTCCGCGGGCAAGTCCGCAGGAAGCGGCGTGGAGTCCGCAGGTCGCGGACGCGAGCCCGTGGGGCGGGCGCAGAGCGACGCCCTCGGCGCCGTCCACCGCGGTGGATCACTTGCCCTCGTTAGAAGCACTCTCGCGCTCGCCCCGGCGCGGTCACGAGACTTACAATAACGGAGGCGAGGAGAACTATAGCGAGGACGAGAGGAGGTACTACAAGGTTCCGGATATTACGGAGTACAGGAACCGGCGACGGCAGAGCGCGGGGAGTGCGGCGTCACCGGCGGGTAAAGTCACTCACGGGTATTTCCGGGGCGGCGGGGTTGACGTGTCGTTTGCGGACTTTCTATCTGCGCGCGCCAGTGCCGCTGCTGCTGCTGCTGCTGCTGCTGCTGGTGGTGACGCGAGTGCTGCTGCTGGTGCTGGTGTTGTTGCCGGTAGTGATGGTGGTGGTGGTGGTGATGGTTCCAATACCGCGGCAGTTACTAGCGCGAATGAGGCTGATGCAGACGGGGATGCACCTGGTAGTGGCGTGGCGGGAGATCGGGTAACTGAGGCTGACGTGGCAACGGCGGAACGTGAGGTGGATCCAGCTGGAGGGGAAGCGGGAAGAACGGGGGAGAGAGGTGATGAAAGCCATGACTATTATGATTCAGATGCTGCTGGGGATGGTGTTGCGCCGTCATTCGCGGCTGGAGCTGCGACGGCGGTTGCGGTGGGCGCAGCAGCGATGGCGGCGGGAGAGACGGCGCGCGCGGATGACGGGGACGCGCGGGAGAGTACGCGGAAGCGCGGGGGAGGGATTGGCGGAAGCTCGCGGAAGCACCGGGCGCGATGGGGAGTGGCGGGAGGGAGCGATGGGGACGGGGAGGACGGCGCGGCTCAGGCGGAAGAGGGGAAGGCGGAGTCGAGGCGGAGTCTGCGCGCCCAGTGGAGTGCGCGGAGGTCAAGGCGCGGGGAAGGGGGAGCACGTGGCGGAGACGAGCGGGGGAAGAGGGCGGCAGGGGGGAGCACGCGGGAGGCACAGGGAACAGGGGAGGGTTCCGCCAATAGGGGAGATCAGGATTTGGCGGGGGAGGAGGCGGAGGGGCGGAGAGGACGGGCAAACGAAGGGCAGGGGGAGAATGACTGGGGGGCTGCGGAGGTTGGGGGCCAAGGGGAATGGTCAGGGGGCGCGGAAGGGTATGGGACTGGGGATGAGGGGGAAGAGGGGGTTAGGGAAAGAGGAGGGGAGATGGAAGGGTGGGCAGAGAGGGGGCCTTATGAGGACGAGGAGGGAAAGGCACATGGAGAGTGGGGAGAAAATGACAGGGGTGAGGGTGGGTATGGGGATGATGGGAATGATGGGGATGATGGGGATGATGATGGGGAAGATGGCATGGCGGAGGGTGGGCAGGATCTGGCGCGGTATGGGCATGGCATGGCGCGATGGCAGCAGCATCAGGAGGCGGAGGGGCATGAGGAGGCGGAGGGGCATGAGGAGGCGGAGGGGCATGAGGAGGCGGAGGGGCATGAGGAGGCGGAGGGGCATGAGGAGGCGGAGGGGCATGAGGAGGCGGAGGGGCATGAGGAGGCGGAGGGGCATGAGGAGGCGGAGGGGCATGAGGAGGCGGAGGGGCATGAGGAGGCGGAGGGGCATGAGGAGGCGGAGGGGCATGAGGAGGCGGAGGGGCATGAGGAGGCGGAGGGGCATGAGGAGGCGGAGGGGCATGAGGAGGCGGAGGGGCATGAGGAGGCGGAGGGGCATGAGGAGGCGGAGGGGCATGAGGAGGCGGAGGGGCATGAGGAGGCGGAGGGGCATGAGGAGGCGGAGGGGCATGAGGAGGCGGAGGGGCATGAGGAGGCGGAGGGGCATGAGGAGGCGGAGGGGCATGAGGAGGCGGAGGGGCATGAGGAGGCGGAGGGGCATGAGGAGGCGGAGGGGCATGAGGAGGCGGAGGGGCATGAGGAGGCGGAGGGGCATGAGGAGGCGGAGGGGCATGAGGAGGCGGAGGGGCATGAGGAGGCGGAGGGGCATGAGGAGGCGGAGGGGCATGAGGAGGCGGAGGGGCATGAGGAGGCGGAAGCAAGTCCAACACGGGTGGTGTCAGGGAAGCGGAAGAGAGAGCAGGGAGAGGCGGAGGGGGAGGGGGAAGGTGAGAGCGAGAGGGGAAGGGGAAAGGGGGAGCCCGGAGAGGAGGGTGTGAGAGACGAGGGTGAGGACACAGGGCATGGGTATGCGTATGGCGTGGGGCGGGGGGGGTATGGTGGAACGGGGGAGTATGGGGCGAGGGGGCAGTACGGAGCAAACGGGCAGTATGGGGCGAGTGGGGAGGATGACATGGTGACCATGGGCATGTCTGCGGAATGGGATGGGGGCATGGCTGCTGCAGCTGCAGCTCTCATGGCCTCTGGAGGGGCAGCGCGGGACGGCACTCAATCTAATCACCATGGTTACCGTGACCGCCGCCAGCTGGACACCCCACCCTCACATGCTGACGTGGCAGCAGCAGCAGCGGCAGCTGATACTGCATCGGTCCACACGGCCTCTGCTGCTGCCAGTGCAGCTGCATCTCCGTTACTAGCCTCCTCCCCCTCTCCAAGCAGCACAGCTGCATTCTCCGACATGTCTTCAACGATGCCACCGGTGTTCCTCCCGCCTCCTGCTATCCACCATCCCACACCACCACTCCCAACCGCCACCCACCAAACAGAAGACTATGAGTGTGAGGAGGACCCTCTACCACTCGCCTCCCTCCTCCGCGCTCACCACCCGCACCTGCTCCCCCCTGCTGCTGCTGCGCCCTCCGCCCCTGCTCCCCCTCGCCCCCTCATGCATGGACTCTGGCGCAGAAACCACTCCGCCCTCACCACTGCTGCCCTTTCTGCCGCAGCTGCCGCTGCTGCTGCTGATGCGTTGTTGCCCGTCCCTCGCTCCGTACTTAGCCGCACCATCCGCCCTGTCTTTGCCTCCACCTCTGCTCCTGATCCTGCGCCCACCACCCCGCCTTTTCATGCGCATGATAATGCCCCAGCTGCTGCTTCAGGTGCTGGCAGCGAGGCAACGGACTCACTTGCTACCGTTGCCTTTGTAGCAGCTGCGAACGCTCCACTGCCACCGTTGAAAACCACAGCGGCTGACACCCTAACTTCAGAGAAAACCGAAAGTCTCACCGCTCTGGAGGCCCCTCACAAGCAAACCGCTGTAGAGTCGAGTGAAGAGCTAGAGCCTACCCCTGTGTCATTGACAGCACATACTGAGGGCTCTCAGAATACCCCTGCAGCATCTGTGGAGGCGGATACAAGCACAGACGCTGCCACCACTCCACCACCTGCCTTCGTTACTGTCACACCACCGCAGCCCAGCGTAGCTTCGGTGCTCCCGATCCTGGTCGCCTACGCCTCCCGACCCGGAGCCTTGGGCCGAGCCTCCATGCTTTACCGCATGCGCAGTGCAGGCGTCGCCGCCATGCACGCTTCTTCGGCCAATCACGACGCGGCAGCTGGCGAGGGGATGGAGGCGGGGGCGGTGGCACAGGCGCTGGAACGCCTGGGGGAGTTTGGGGAAGGGGGAGGAGGGGGGGGAATGGGCGGAGGGGGAGGGGGAAGGGGAAGGGGGTTGGGGGAAGCGGGGGATAATGAGATGTGGGAATATAGCGAGGAGGATGCGAATGCAGCAGCAGCAGAGGCGTTATCAGTGTTTGGGTTCCCGTTTTCTCTCGAGGGATTTGCTCTGGGTGGTGGTGGGGAGGAGGAGGAAACGGTGGAGGGGGAAGGAACTACTGTAGTGAGAGGAGGAAGGGATGCAGTTGGCTTGCCTGTGCTACAGCCGGGGGAGGTGTATTCCATCCGAGGTGTATTTGATGTGGAGGGGAGCCAAGGGGAGGCTGCAACTGGTGGCGGCTCTGCTGGTTCTGCTGGCTCTGCTGGTTCTGCTGGTGTGGCTAGTGCTGCTAGTGCTGCTGCTGCTGCTGCCGGTTGTGACGGTGATGCTACTCCAGGCGAATCTGCTGACAGTGCGAGTGTGACTGTAAACGGGGCTCAGTTCTCCTTCCACGCGGGCAGCGACGGCAGAGGTTCCAGCCATGCTGACGTGGCACCGGACCCGGCTGACGAGGACGGGGAGCTGGATGAGGTGGCAGTCGAGGCGAGTCTACGTCAGCTTGAGCTGGCGCTGGAGCAGGGGCTGTTACCGAATGAGGTGGAGGCGTTGAGGAGAGAGCTGGAAGCACTGGTGGAGAGAGGGACACGGAGGGCAAGGAGGGGTGGGGGGGAGGAGAGAGAGGAGGCGGAGAGGAGAGAGCTGGAAGCATTGGAGGAGAGAGGGACACGGCGGGCAAGGAGAGGCGCGGGGGAGGATAGGGGAGGAGGCGAGATGGGGGATTGGAGCGAGGGGGATGGGGTGGAAGTCGAGAGAGAGGGGAGTGGAGGTGAGAGGGAGGGGGAGGGGGGGAGTGAGGAGGGGGAGGGCGGCTTTGGAATGGAGATGGAGAGGGATGTGACTCCTTACCATGAGATGGAAGGCGATAGAGAGGGCAGGGCGGTAGAAAGGGAGAGAGAAGGGGAGGTGGAGGAGGGAGAAGGGGAGACGGAGAGGGAGGAGGTGAGAGCAGGCAGTGAGTTTGGTGGATACGGTGGGGATGATGGGGATGGTGCGAGAGGGGAGCAGAGTGTGAAGGAAACGGCTGGTGAGATGGATGATGAGGGGGTTGAGATGAGTGAGGAGGGCGAGGAGGTTGGGCAAGGGGAGGAGGTTGAGCAGGGAGAGGGCGCTGAGGAGGGGGAGGAAACTGGAGGCGAGGAGGTGGGGCGCGGTGAGGAGTGTAAGGAGGTTGGAGGCGAGAAGGCAGGCAGGGAGACAGAGGCAGAGAGGGAAGAGGCGTCACCTCACAAGCCTATTGCGCCTGCCCAGCCCGTTCCCGCACTCGCCAAACCGCCTCTCCCGCCGTCCCTCTCTGCCCACGTGGATGCGCTCTCTGCTGACCTGGACGCTGAGTCAGCAGCGGCTGTAGCGGCGGCTGCAGCAGCAGTGTCAGCGGAGGTAGAGGAGATGGGCGGCGGCTGTAGCACCAGCTGTAGCACAGCCAGCAGCCCCAGCAGGCTAGGTCTGGGTCTCATGGGGGTTATGGCGTTTGAGTCGACTCAAAAGTCACCTCTACCCGGCGGCTGTAGCACCAGCTGTAGCACAGCCAGCAGCCCTAGCCGGCTAGGTCTGGGTCTCATGGGGGGCATGAGCATGAGCAGCACGGGCAGTGGCGGGGGCGTGCTTGGAGGAGGAGGGATGGGAATGGGCAGCAGCCCTTTAAGTGTTACCGGTGGTGCCATGAGCCCTGGTAGCGTTGCTGCTGGCGCAGGGGACAGGAGTGGCAGTGGTGGTGGGGGAGGAGCAGAAGGAGCAGGAGGGCAGGAGAGAGTGGTTGCAGGGGTAGCTGGGTCGCCTTCTCATGCACAGGGGCACAGCGGCGGCGTGGGGGGAGGCGGAGGCGGAGGCGGAGGGGGAGGGGGAGGCGGAGGGGGAGGCGGAGGGGGAGGGGGAGGGGGAGGAGGAGGCGGGGGGGAGAAGGCGCTGTACACGGTGGGGCACTGGCTGAGGCAGGTGGACATGGCGGAGGCGGAGGGGCGGGTGCACGTGGCAGTGCGCCTCTTTGAGCTGGCCGAGCGCTGCCACGCCCAGCCCGCCACTCTGCTCCGTGTCGCCTGCTCCCAGTTCATGCGCCGCCACCGCCACTCCCTCTCCCTCTTATCTGGTTATGCTGCTGGTGGTGGTGCCGCTGCTGGTGGTGGTGCCGCTGCTGCTGGTGGTGTTACTGCTGGTGCTGGTGGTGCTGGTCCTTCTGGTGGTGGTGGGAGTGGAGGTTTTGGTGGTCTTGGTGGTGGGGTATCACCACTGCTCTCTCCGGCAGCTTCACCACTTCACACCGCCTTTGACCGCCCATCCTCATCCCCTCCTCGCTCCCCCCTCCTGCTCCCCTCCGCCAACCCCTCAATCTCCCCTCTCTCCTCCCCTCCTCGCTCCCCTTCCCCCCTACCTCCGCCCCCTTCCCTCTCCGCCTACCCCCTGCCCGCACCCCCGTCCCTCTCCCCCTTCCCCACGCCCCCGCCTCCCTCCCTCTCCGCGTTCCACTGGCGGCAGCAGCCCACAGCAGGGGGCAGCGAGCGGGGCACAGCAGGGGCAGGCGGGCAGGCAGGCGGAAACGCCTCTAGCCTCGCGTCTTCCCCCCCCCACTCGCCCCTCGCGGCCACTACCCCCGGCTCCTCCCCCCGCTCCTCCTTCTCTCTCTCCCCTGCTGATGCCCTCCCGGCACTGCCTGAGTCCTTTGAGTCGTTTGGGCTGCGTAGGGGTGGTGTGGGCAGGCGGTTGGTGTTTGAGAGTGGGGGAGAAGGGAGGCGTGAGGAGGAGCGGGAGGGGGAGGTAGGTGTGTCTGCAGCTTCGAGTGGTGTAGGGAATCGGTTGGAGTGTGAGGGTGCAGGGGAAGGGAGGCGAGCAGGTGCGAGGGGAGGGGAAGAGCAGAGGGGGGACGTAGGCGCTTTTGCAGCTGGTGCTGCGGGGGATGGTAGCAGTGGTGGCGGTAGTTGTGATGGTGGTGATGATGGGAGGAAGGAGGGAGAGGGTTTGAGTATACAGGGCGATGGAGCAAAGGAAGAGGAGTCGAGGGAGAATGGAGAGGATTGGAGGCGGGAGGAGGTACAGTTGAGGGAAGATGGGGGAGTGGAGAAGGGTGAGGGGAGTAATGGGAGCGGTGCAGAGAATGCAGGTGTGGAGATGTCTCGGATGAGGGGAGGAGAAAGGAGGGAGGGTTGGGAGGAGCAGGAGAATGGCTGGGAGCGTGCGGACCGGGTGCAGGCATGGGCACATGAGAACCTTCCCGGCCCGGCGCCAGAAGAAAACAGGAGCGGCAAGTCCCGAACCGGAGGCAACGGCTCGTTCTCAGGCTCGGAAGCAGGTTTGGAGTTTCTACAGGGTAGTGGTGGGAACAGTGGCAGTGGAAACAAGGGCAGTGGGAGGAGACACGGAACCTTGGGCGATCAGGCAAGGTGGGGAGAGAGTGAGGCGGCGGGCAATGAGGCTGCTGCTGCTGCTGCTGCTGCTGCTGCTGCTGCTGCTGCTGCTGCTGCTGCTGCTGCTGCTGCTGCTGCTGCTGCTGCTGCTGCTGCTGCTGCTGCTGCTGCTGCTGCTGCTGCTGCTGCTAGTGCCTCTGGCGCAGGTGTTAGTTCAAGTGGCTCTGTTGGTAGCGCAACTAGTGTTGGTGCTGGCGCTTTGGGTGGGGTTGAGGCAAGCAGAGTGCAAGACAGGCCGAAGGGGAGGATCACAGAGGAGCGAGAGGAAGAGCTGGAGGTTCCAATGAGGGGTGGTGAGAGCGAGGAGGAGAGAGTGGAAGTGGGAGAGAGAACAGCGGAGAAGGAGCAAAACGGAGAGCGAAAGATAGAAGGAAGGGCGCGGGAAATCGAAGGGGACAGAGATGAACCCATACCAGGTCAAGCCACAGCCGCAGCAGCGGCACCGGCAGCAGTAGCAGCAACACCAGCAGTAGCTGCACCACCAGCAGCAGAAGCTGCAGCAGCGGCAGGGAGAAGGGTGGCAGTGAGAGAGGGGAGTGTGCTGGCAAAGCTGAAGCGCGCCACTGCACAGCTGAGACAGCTCAGGGAGAACTACCTGGGGGAGGGCCACCCTGGGGAGGGCCAAGTGAAAGAGGATCAACAGGGGAAGGCTGAACTGAGGGAGGGTGCAGGCGAGGGTGCTGCTGCAGCAGGAGCAGAATCAGCACCTGCGCCAGCAGCACCACCACCACTTGCCATGCCTGCGCGGCCTTCCCCCCAGTCGTCCATCCCCCTCTCTGCTTCTGCCTCCGCTGCTGCTGCGTCTGCCGCGGCTCGCCTTGCTGCTCGCACCAGCAACGCCAGTGGCAGCAGCAGCAACGCCAACCCTCTGGAGGCAAGAACCTTTGGTGCAGGAGGAGCAGGGGCAGGAGTCACACTCCCATCAGCAGGGATAATAAGGCCCTTGGCCCCTGCTGCTGCTGCTTCCCAGGGAGGAGGCACCTCACTGCCAGGCGCTACTGCACCTTCTCTTGGTGGCACAGAAACTCTGGCACGAATCTCCATCCCAGGCCTCACCGGGTCAGCACCAGGTCAAGGCTTGTACGGGACAGGGCCCGTTTCAATGCCGGTCTCAGGACTGCATTCAGGGCCGGTTTCACCAGGAGCGAACGCCCCTGCGTCTCCCTTTGCCCGCGCGTCCTCCTCCTTCTCCCTCGGCCGCATCCCCTCCTCCGAGTCCCTTCGTACTGATCCTACCTTTTCTGTTTACGTTCGGAGGTCCGGCTCGGCCCGAACCTCGGCCTCGGCTGCGGAGACCGAGCCTAGCGAAGGGATGGTGGAGGGAGGGATGGATGGTGGGATGGAGGGAGGGATGGGAGGGGAGGTTGCTGGGGATGGTGGGGATGGGGGAGAGGCGGATGCTGAGAGCAGGGAGAGGGGAGTTGGAGGAGGAAGTATTAGCAGGGCGGAAGAGGAGGAAGGGAGGGGAGCAAACGAGTCTCGGTCCAGAGGGGATGGTACGAGAGTTGGCTGTGTGAAGGGAGAGGAGGAGGAAGGGGAAGGGAGGTCAGTGGAAGTAGAAAGAAGTCAGCCTCTTCCATCGTCTGCTGTGGCGGTTGCTGATTACAGTGTTGATGCCGCTCCTGCTGATGAGAATTCTCAAAAATACCCTGCAGATGAGGCTGTTGGAGCTCCGAATTCCAGCCTCTCATCGACTTCCACAGCAGCAGCAGGTGCTGCTGTTCCACCTCCACCTCCCCCTCTTGCATCCTCCCCCGTTTCATCACCATACCACATCCTCGCCTCCCTCTCCTCCTCCCCAGCGTTCATCCCTCCTCTCTCCCTCGACGCCACTCCTGCTAGCAGAGTGCTTTCCGACCCTGACACTTCTCTTGCTGCCAGACCTACTCCCGTCCCTGCTGCCGAAGCTACTCCTGCTTCCCCTGGCAGTGCCACAGCTCATACAACTGTTGGTGCGAGTGGTGCGAGTGGTGGTGGCGGTGGTGGTGGTGGTGGTGCGTGCATTGGTGCGCGCATTGGTGCTGGCAAGCCCCGCTCTCCCCCTCTCTCTTCCACCTCCACTCGCCCCGCCTCTCTCTCGATCCCCTCTCGCGCCTCGAAGGCAGCGGCAACACAACAGCAGAGTGAGAGCACACATGCACACGAACCCGCACAAGCAGCACGAGTCACACAAGTCGTACCAAATGGAGATGCAGCAGCAGCACGGCCAGCAAGGGCACCAGCGACGCCACAGGGCCCAGCAGCTATAGCTGCTGCTGCAGCTGGAGCAGAAGCCACGGCAGCAAGCCAGTCCCCCCCCCCCACCCTTCTGGGGACAGCTACAAAATCAGCTACGGCTGCTGCAGGTGGAAGGGCAGGTACGGCTGCTGCGCCTGCACTGGGTGCTGCAACTGGAAGGGCAGTGAGCGCAGCAAAGCAGGCCCCTCGATCTCCTCCCTTTGGCTCCTCCTCACCTCGCTCCACCTCACCTAAACCCTCCTCCACCGCTCCGCACTCCTCCCCTGTCAGGACACGGACGCCTCTCTCCCACGCTCCCCATTCCCCTCCCACTCGCCCCCGATCTCCTACTGCCTCCCGCTCTCCTCCCCTCTCTGCCCGCTCTCCTCCCCTCTCTGCTCGCTCTCCCCCCATCTCTGCTCGCTCTCGCCCCCTCTCTCCTTGCTCTCGCCCCCGCTCTCCTCCCCTCTCTGCCCGCTCTCCTCCCCTCTCTGCCCGCTCTCCTCCCCTCTCTGCCCGCTCTCCTCCCCTCTCTGCCCGCTCTCCTCCCCTCTCTGCCTGCTCTCCTCCCCTCGCTGCTCGCACTCCCCCACATCAGTCACAGCAGCAGCAGGGTCGCAGCAGACATGCAGATAGTGCGGCACCAGTCGCGGCACCTGACGTTTCTCCTGAAGTAACACCTGAAGGGGACCGTTTCTCTGTGAAACCTGGAGGTGAGGTGAAGCGGTCGTGGGGTGGCTGGAGCAAGGGGTCTTCTGGTCAACGGATGAGTCAACTGGAGTCAATGGAGGAAGGGATGGGTCAAACGGAGACAAACAATGGAGAGACGAGTCTACCCAAATCAACATACGGAGAGACAAATCAAGTCACGTCAACATATGGAGAGACAAGTCAACCCAAGTCAACATATGGAGAGACGAGTCAACCGAAGTCAACATATGGAAAGACGAGTCAACCCAAGTCAACATATGGAGAGACGAGTCAACTCACGTCAACGGAGGGAGAGACGAGTCAGCCCAATCCATTGTATGAAGAGGAGAGTCAACTCGAGTCAACACATGGAGATACGAATCAACCTGAGTCAACGGAGGGAACAGTGCAGCAAGGGGGTGGGATCGGGAGGTACGGGGGGATTGGGAGAAACGGAGGTGGTGGTGGTGTTGGTCGGTGTGGCGGAGTCGGGAGATTCACAGCTTCTGCTGCCACCCCTTCGGAGTCCTTCCTCATCCTCCCCCCTGCCCTGAACCCCAAGGATATGCACACCCATTTGCACTCCCATATGCATGCACCTCACTCACCGCACACACCCCGCACACCACCTGCGCTCGGCTCTCCCCGTTCCTCCCACCCCCTCTCCCCTCGCACCCCGCTGCGAAACCTCTCACCCTCGTCCTCTCATCGCTCTCCACCAATGGGATCGCGCCACGTGGAGTCGCGGTACATGGCATCGGCCATGGCAGCAGCAGCGCCGCCCGCATCGCCCGCCATTGCCATGGCCATGGGCGGCAGTCCACGGGCGTACACCCACTCCCACACCCACTCCATGCGCGGAGCGGGCGGCATGGGCGGTATGGGCGGCACAGGCAGCCCGTCTGACAGCACCCAGAGCTCTCTGCTGCTCCGAACCAGCGGCAGCTGCGGCAGCGGTGGCTTCGCCTTGCCTGCTGCTGCTGGCAGTGCTAGTGGTAGTGGTACAGGCAGTGGGGGTGGCGAGAGGAGGGGGAGGAGCAGGGAGCAGCAGATGGCGGCGATGGTGGAGAAGTGGCCTACGAGCCTGCGAGGCAGTGCTGCTGCTGCGGGTGTGGTGGGGAGAGTGGGGGAGACGCACAGGGGTGCAGGTGCCAGGGCGAGGCCTGCTTGGGGTAGTGGGGGTGGGGCGAAGCCGGCTTGGGGCAGTGGACCTGGAGCGAGGTGGTGAGGGACGGTGGGAGGCGAGGAGAGGAGAGGAGGGGAGAGGAGGGGCGAGGCGGGTAACGAGGAGAGGTGAGTATGACTTGCTGTCCGGATCAGAGGCTGTGCAGCAGTGACAGATTTCAACAAACGGGAGCAGGGAGGCGTGAACGAGGACACTCTCTCTAGAGTTTTACCTAGGACAGCTAGGGTGTTTGAATAAGTGCGAGCTAGGCTTGTGCAATGGCTGGCTGCTACTAATCACCTGAACACCTGCTACAAATCGAGTTTAGAGGGAAGGGGCGGATAGGCAACCCGCCTTTGACTTGCCTGTTGACCTGTGTGTGTGTGTTGCTCTGTCTGAGTCCTTTGCGGACGACGATGCTTGCATTGCATGTACACTACCTTTTCTTTCCTGAAATGAAAGTACATACATAGATATCCCCTGTACACTTGCATGTCCTGCTTTGCTCCACTGTAACGAGTTATGAGTCGACTCAATAACTCGACCCATGGCACGGCACGCAGCAAGAGCAGTTGGGTCTGCCTGCCACATGAATCTGGTGTCAGTACAGTTGGAGATGCAGTGATAGATTGACATCGTTGGAATTCTCAAAGACCAAGATCCGCATACAGACAGACAGACAGACAGACATTCCCTGCTCCCCCCCACACGTGCTGAGTTACCAACTTTAGAAAGCAGCAACGTCAGCAGCACCGCTCCCCTCCTCATCTCGTCTCACAGGGGTATCGTACGAGGGCAGGCGGCCGGCAGAATCCCTCGCCTGTTGAGGAAGCAAGCAGCTTCATAATGGCAGCAGCGTCAGCAGAACTCCCCCCCACCATCTTTCCCCCACTCTGGACATCAACAGCACTCCCCTCCCCATCTCTCCCCACTCTAGACGTCAACAGCACTCCCCTCCCCATCTCGCCCCCACTCTATACGTCAACAGCACTCCCCTCCCCATCTCGCCCCCACTCTAGACGTCAGTACCACTCCCGTCCCCATCACGCCTCACAGGGGCGTGGTACGAGTGCAGGCGGGCGGCATCCCTCGCCTGCATGCCGTGGAACAGCGGGCCGAACGGCCGCATGGGGACAAACCGCCCCGCCCCCCGGGTGACGTTCAGCCGCCCGTGCTGCCACACCACCCTGCCCTGACTCACTGTCACCTCGATGTTGCCCTGCGGGATGACAGTGTGATGGTCGGGAAGTAAAAGGAATGGTTAGAGTGGCGCAAGGAAAGGTTGGGATGGGCAAGAGTTAATTGGTTCTTTAAGGAGAGGGCCCTGAAAACGTGTGCTACCACACCACCCTGCCCTGACTCACCGTCACCTCGATGTTGCCCTGCGGGGGGAAGAAGGGATGACAAGTGGGGAATACGGGATGACAGGAGGGGAAAATGATGGGAGAGGGAATAGAAGATGGCAGGAGAAGAGAAGAAATGGGTGGGTCAATGGCATCGCTGACGGTCTCATCATGTCCTGCATTTCTGTGTGTTAACTGTGTCCCACTCACCACTCATCACACTTGCATGCGCCGCCTCTCATACCTTATGAAACCTTATGAATCGACAAAAGTCACCTCATGCATGAGGTGACTTACACCAACGAGGTGATGTACACCAACTGTGTCTGACACACTCACTTATCCCACCTGCATGCGCCACCCCTCATAGACGTTGGTGTCAATGCGGGAGTGGTGAATGGTAGCGCTGATAACAGTGCTGTTCAGCTCGACTCAAGCATCACCTACGTTCATCCCACCTGCATTTGCGGCGCCATTCTTTCAGGCACCTCAAAAACAACACCATCTCCGATCTCCGTTCATCCCACCTGCAATTGCAGCGCCATTCTTTCAGGCACCTAAAAAACAACACCATCTCCGATCTCCGTTCATCCCACCTGCAATTGCGGCGCCATTCTTTCAGGCACCTCAAAAACAACACCATCTCCGATCTCCGTTCATCCCACCTGCAATTGCAGCGCCATTCTTTCAGGCACCTCAAAAACAACACCATCTCCGATCTCCGTTCATCCCACCTGCAATTGCGGCGCCATTTTTTCAGGCACCTCAAAAACAACACCATCTCCGATCTCCGTTCATCCCACCTGCAATTGCAGCGCCATTCTTTCAGGCACCTCAAAAACAACACCATCTCCGATCTCCGTTCATCCCACCTGCAATTGCGGCGCCATTCTTTCAGGCACCTAAAAAACAACACCATCTCCGATCTCCGTTCATCCCACCTGCATGCGCCACCCCTCGTAGACGTTGGTGTCAATGCGGGAGTGGTGAGAGGCAGCACTGATGGTGGTGCTGCCTCGTGGATTCAACACGATCACGTCAGCATCTGAACCCTCAGCTACCACGCCCTTCTGTGGGTACAGGTTGAATATCCTCGCACTGTGCGGGGAGAGGACGGAGGAGGGGGGAGGGGGGGGGGGGGGAGAGTGGCGAGTGGTGGCGCTGATGGTGGTGCTGCCTCGTGGATTCAACACGATCACGTCCGCATCTGACCCCTCTGCCACCACGCCCTTCTGTGGGTACAGGTTGAATATCCTCGCACTGAAAAATATGGACGGGGGAAGAGGAGGGGGGGAGTGGGGAGAGGGGAAGGGGAAGGGGAAGAGGAAGGAGAATAAATGCGGGGATACTGTTTTCAGTAATCTATGCTGCGGTGGAAGGGGTTTGTTTGTAATGGAGAGGAGGGAAGTGGCAGGTGAGCGTGATAATGCTGATGATTTAGGAAGGCTGGAGGGTAGGGGAGGGTTGGGACACGGTTAAGGAGGGACGGGGTACAGTGAGTGCTGCTGACTTACACTCTGTGCTGCTGACTCACGACTTTGTGCTGCTGACTCACCAATCTGTAGTGCTGACTCCACATTCCGCACTGCTGACTCACCATTCTGTGCTGGTGATGCGGACATAATCACTGGGTGACATGAGACCAGAATTCTGCAACCGGGGTTTGAGATGGCGGGAAGGGAGAGGGTAAGTGTGTGGACAGACATGCAACATGCATTAATGCAACCAGATAACAAGAGTTCACCTCCTGATGCCATCCCACTCATCCCATGCCCACTCACCACCATCACATCCCAGGTTATGCGCATGCGCTCCTCGATACCTGCACACATGGCGAGACACATGGCACATGCATGCAAAGAAAGAGATACTAAGCCTATGCTTGCCCGAGACAAGATGGCATTTCCACGAGTACCTATATGTGGCTTGTGGCTTGTTGTGGGGGTAGTGGCTTTTGGCTCATGGCACATGGTCTTCCCAATCACTCCATCAACACTCACCGCACCATTCACACCATCAGGCACATCAAGCATCTGCCATGGCACCATTCCACCAGCACAAGTCCTCTCACCGCCAGTATCCTTTGATACTGTTGACCCCCTCACCGTATCCCCGTTGACTTCGCCTCACCGTTGACCCCGTTGGGAATGAGGCGGAAGTCGTGGCGCCCTTTGGCCTTCTGAGACGAGTTGAATGGACAGTGGTCCGTGGCCACCAGCTGGGGGGGGGGGGGAGAGGGAGGGCAAGCACAGAGAGAGCATATTGAGGGTAGTGGGGGTGGTGAGGGAAGTGAGGGTAGTGAGAGGAGAGGTAAAGATGCCTTCTGAGACGAGTTGAAGGGACAGTGGTCCGTGGCCACCAGCTCAAATGGGGAGGAAGTGAAGGTAGTGAGAAGAGGAAGTAGGTAGTGAGGGTCTAGGTAAGAGCACTTTGAGACGTGTTGGGGTGTGTGTATTACACACATGCACGCCTCTGTACAGCCTTCTGACAATGGTATGGTAGCACTATAACGAAGTGCATACCTGCATGGCAGCGTGATAACGAAGTGCATACCTGCAGCGTGCCAGTGGCGAGTGCTGCTTTGACTGCTGCCACGTGCTCTGCTGAGCGGATGGGTGGACTCATCACAAACCTGCCGGGCAGACAGGGGGGCCATGCGAGAGGAAAAAGTCAGGGGAATGGCAAGCAGCACGCCTGGTAAGCAGTGCATTCATTAAGTTTGAGGTTGATTTTGAGAATTCTCAGAATCAACCTCAGTCAGGGGAATGGCAGGCAGCACGCCTGGTAAGCAGTGCATTCATCAAGGTAAGAAGGACCCAAGAACGAAGCATTCTGATCCTTTTACTCCTGGAACAATACAAGCAATGCAAAACGATGCATCAGGAAAGATATGTGCATAGCTAGCGCTAAACACAGCGAGCGGATGATTGGAGCAATGACACGCAGCAACTCAAGATTGAGCCCTGAAGCTTGAGACATGGTGACATGGAGACATGGTGACATAGAGACATGGTGACATGGTGACGCACTGAGCGGCGTGCTTGAAGTCAGGCGACCAGAGGTGCGAGTCGTTGAGAGCAATCCCCGACACCACCGGCTCGCCCACCACGCGCTGCCCTGTCGTGAATGAGGGATCCACGTGACAGACGCACGCAGGCATGATTTTAGGATTCAAAAAGAAAAGACGCCTACATGAGGGTAGATGTGATGTGAGGTGTTACTCTGTGCCTCGCTCCTGCAACTCACCTCTGCGCCTCGCCTCCGCCACCTACCTGGCAGTGCCTGTACTCATGACATGAATGCACCACGTACAGGGGGGGGGGGAGGGTACTGCCTTAAGGGGTCACCAGGTCACACACACAGCCAGTCCTCCCTCCCAGCCTCACTCCCGTGCCTCACCTCTGCGCCTGGCCTCTGCCACCTCCTTGGCGGCCCCAGCACTCATGACATGCACCACGTACAACTAGGAGCGCTCTGGAAGGGCTCACAGGCCACACACTCAGCGCCCCACCTTTCCCCCTCCAACCCTCACCTCTGCGCCTGGCCTCTGCCACCTCCCTGGCGGCACCAGCGCTCATGCCATGCACCACGTACAGCCAGAGTGCTGCCTAAGGGCTCACCAGTGCCTCACATCTGTGCCTCGCCTTTCCGCCTCACCTCTGCGCCTGGCCTCTGCCACCTCCCTGGCGGCCCCTGCGCTCATGACATGCACCACGTACAGCCAGAGGTGCTGCATAACGGGCTCACCAAACCACAAACTCAGCGCCCCGCACCTTCCCCCCTCACTCCTGCCCCTCACCTCTGCGCCTGGCCTCGGCCACCTCCCTGGCGGCCCCAGCGCTCATGACATGCACCACGTACAGCGGCACCCCCACCACATTCGCCAACCGAATGGCCCTGCCTGTCGCCTCCTCCTCCACCTGCAACCACAGTGCAGTGCCACGCACAGAGAATTGGCGTTGGTCTAGTGACGGTTGGGATAGGAGGGTTGATGGCAGAGTGGGACAGGGGTTGCGCCTCAGCAAGAGCAGCAGGAGTGGGAGCTCTCAGGATTGAACTGAGCGCACACACCTCAGGAGGGCGGGACAAGGGGTGGCCTTCGGGGCCGGTGATCCCAAGGTCGAATATGTGCTGCTGCCCCCACACCACTGCATCTCCGTTCTCTGCATGCACATGTGCGCACAAACATACGGAGAGAGAAGAAGAAGGAGCGACAAGGAAGGGAGGTCAAGTTGTGAGATGCGGTGACGCCTGGTCACCTGTTCACCCGGTCACCTGGTCACCTGGTCACCTGTTCACCTGAGGGGCACAGCATGGGTGCAGCATGTGACCGACCTGGGGGATGGCGCCAAGCTGTTTGCAGCGAGTGAACCCATCGAGTAGCTGCTGGTCGTCCACCTGCAGAGCGCCCTTGTACGCCATGAAGAACTTGAACGAGTTTATGCCTGGCAGGCATGGGATGAGGAGATAAAAGAGTTGGAGAGGAATTAGGGGCAATAGCAACGAAGGGTTTGAGACGTCTCCAGGCTCGTTCCACCTGCAGAGCGCCCTTGTACGCCATGAAGAACTTGAACGAGTTTATGCCTGGCAGTGGCAAGCATGGGTGCAAGGCAAGGAGAGCAGATGCATGGCGTATCATGAGCATGGTATCAAGAGGAGAGAAAAGCTTGTGCACGCCCGCCTGACACGGGGGTATGCAGATCAGGAAGTTGCACCTCATCCCACCACCTCACCCCACCTCACCTCACCTCGCCTCACCACCTCCTCCATGTCCCGCGCAACCTCCTCGCTCCACCGCGTGACACCCATGTGAAACCCATAGTCCATCACGGCGTTGCCCCTCGCCTTCCCCTCATACTCCGCCAGAATCCGCAGCAGATCCTCCCCTGCATCTGGCGTAGCCCCCAACACATAGTCGCTGCTGCTGGTGTGACCCCCAACACAACCACACACATCCCTTTCCTTTCCTTCCCTCCACATACCATCCATCCCCTCAAACCTCACCACACCTCATCGCACCGCACCCCACCCCACAGCATCTCACCTCGCTTCACCACCTCTTCCATATGCTTCTCCACGGCCGCACTCCACCGCGTGACACCCATGTGAAATCCGTAGTCCATCACGGCGTTGCCCCTTGCCTTCCCCTCATACTCCGCCAGAATCCGCAGCAGGTCCTCCCCTGCAGCCGGCGTGGCCCCCAGCACATAGTCGATGTGGAAGGTGGTGCCGCCTGCCAGCGCTGCTGCTGGGGTGGCCCCCAACACAACCACACACATCCCTTTCCCTCCCGCCCCTCCACATACTATCCCACCGCATCTCACCTTACCCCACCTCACCCCACCTCACCGCACCGCACCCCACCGCACCTCACCTCGCTTCACCACCTCTTCCATATCCTTCTCCACGGCCGCACTCCACCGCGTGACACCCATGTGAAACCCATAGTCCATCACCGCATTGCCCCTTGCCTTCCCCTCATACTCCGCCAGAATCCGCAGCAGATCCCCCCCTGCAGCCGGCGTGGCCCCCAGCACATAGTCGATGTGGAAGGTGGTGCCGCCTGCCAGCGCTGCCGCCTGACCCGAGAAGAAATCGTCGCAGGACTCTGTTCCCATGAAGGGCATGGCCAGATGGGTGTGCGGGTCTATGCCGCCTGGAGGGGAGAGGGACGGGGGAGGACACAGGGGAAGGGCGAGGAAGAGAGTGGAAGGGAGGAAAGAGGGGAAGAGAGGGGAAACAAGGGTGAAAAGGGAGAGAAGGGGAGCGGGGGAAGAACAGAAAACGAGTAGTCGATGTGGAAGGAGGTGGTGCCGCCCGCCAGCGCTGCTGCCTGGCCCGAGTAGAAATCGTCGCAGGATTCTGTTCTCATGAAGGGCATGGCTAGGTGCGTGTGTGGGTCTATGCCGCCTGGAGGGAAGAGGAACAGGGGAGGACGCAGGGGAATTGGGGGACGAGGGGGAACAGGGGAAGAGGGGGAAAACACATACCTGGAATTGATTCTGCATGATTGGCTATCCCTCATTTTCTCCGCATCACATGCCTGGATTTATTGTATTTCCCACATTTCACAAGAGCCAAAGGAGTTTTGCGCGTCTCAAAATCTGGTATTGAACCCTTTAAGAGAGCCAAGCCAAAGAATAGGGGACTGTGTTTGGAGCAGTGGCAGCTGCAAGAGAAAGAGACACACCTCCTCGCGATCTTTGAGGTGCCTCAAAAGGCAGCTGGACTCAGAACAGAAACACGGACACACTTCTTCAGAACACACTGGCCAAGGAGACTACACTACACGGACGGAATCAGGTCAGAATGGCAAGATGATGGCAAGATGCTAAGGGAACTCAAGTAAAGCAAACAAGTCAACGGTACGGACCTGGCATGACATATTTCCCAGTGGCATCAATTCTCTGAACCCACTCTGGAACCTGCCAGCCACGTCAGCAGGGCCATATGATGACAGGAAAACACGAACACCTCAGCAGCACGATGAGTCACACCTCATTCGATGTGTCAAAAACTTAGCAAATGGAAGGTTCACCCTTGCACAGCATGCATAACACATTGAACGGTAGAAGCATTTTAGCCTCCGTTTCTTGAAAGGGCGATACAACGCTCATCTGACTGACGCAGGCCTGGTACGGAACTGCGCGAGCAGGACACGTCACCTTGATGTTTGGCCGAACGAGCTTGATGGTTCCATCCTCGATATAAACGTCTGCAACGAATTCGCCATCCGCGTTAACGACAGTGCCTCCTGCTATAAGCAGTTGCGAGCGAGCTTCAGGCGACGGCGAGATTACGTCAGAAGAGACGGCGGAACAGAATGGAGGTGACGGTGACGGTGACGTTGACGTTGACGGAGTCGCCTGATACATAAGAGAATTTACCAAGGAACCGTCAGCAGCTGACACATGTCACGGACGCGTGAACGTGTCAATGCGTTTCGACCATACTGAAAATAAATTGTCGATATTTGATTCAGTACGTCGAAATGCAAGCTAGTGAAACCAAGAAAGACAACAAGCCACCACCATTGCTCGGCCCAGTAACTGGAGCGATGAAGCACACACAAAGCACCGACACTTACGGCTACAAGCTGAGACGTGAACTTCTTGCATCTCTAGCCAGAAAGGCCTTATCTATCGCGAAGCGTGGCAAGAGGGAGACACACAAGCACGGTACGGACCACACGAAAGCCATTAGCGGCTAACACACCTTGCAAGAAGCGACGGAGGCGACTAGCCAAAGCGCCATGACCATCAAGCCCATGGCTTTCATGGCTGTAATCGCCTAGCGACGCGCGAAATGCGAAATCTAGCGACGACTGACGAACGACGAACGACGAGCGACAGTCGCCTAGAAAGGCTTTCTTGGGATGAGCAGGTGTGGCAATGGCGGTATGCGGTAATGCGACAACTCTGGCGGCGAGCAAGCGGGAAAATGGTTTCTGGGTGGAAATGCGACTTCGGTATTGTTCCCAACCCTTGGGAGCTCAATTCCAACATAAGTCCGGAGTAGTGTACAATCTTCATCAGTGTTTCTTTATACCTTTTGACCATTGTCCGAAGTCAGAATTTACTGGTTTGTTCTCAAGCTTCATTAACAATATATTTCCATAACACTTGGAAATGTTCCAAAGGCCTCAGAACCAGTAGAGGAATTTGCTTGTTCTATTCCTGGCGCTATCCAGTTTCACCCATTGCCACCACTCAACCTCTTGGCTATCCCTTCAGGCGTGCATTTCTACAAGAAAGGAAGCAGTGGTTATGAAAGCAAGGTTGAGGGACGGAGGTAAGTTAATGGGGGAGGTAACAAAAAGTGGCACGAAGGTGACAAATGCATGGAATAATGAAGGTTTAGGTGGAGGCATGAGGTGAAAGAAGGAAGATGGACGAGACTAAATGTATCCGCAATGATGTATCGTGCAGGCAAAGTCAAGTATGCATTGGCTATTTAACTCACCTAGTCTGCTCTTCCCACCACAGCCGTCGGTCCCTTCCGCCCAGTGATCTAATCTGGGCATCTCTGAGCAACGTCTCCCAGCGAACCACCCCCGCCTTCCTCTCCCACCACCGTACTCACCCTAACAACCCTCAACAACACCCCTCTGCCTCTAACAACCCCACTCACCTCCGCAACCGCCCCTTTCGACCATGGCTTGAAAGCCGGGCACTTCCTCGCTGTCTCCGCCAGTGCAGCCACCCCTTTCCCCCTCTCACCACCTTACTCACAGCAGCAGCCATCACTATCACACACCTCATTACAACAAACCCAACAAACCTTTCTCACCTCAGCAGATGCCCCTTTCGTCCATGGCTTCAAAGCAGGACACCTCCTCGCTGCCTCTCCCAGCGCCGCCACCCCCTCCTCCCTCTCCCACCAGCTGTCGCTCGGCTCGCCCAGCGTACACGTGGCAAACCCCGATTGGCTGACACCAGGGAAGCGTGCCAGCCTGGCAGTCTCCACGGGGAGGTTGATTCCCGGGCGGGACGACGCGACGCTATTGGCTGTAGCGGTGATAGCCTGGCGTGGGTTGAGGATGTGGCGGCGTGAGCCTTCCTCGTCCAGGCATTGGCTGGCGCTGTAGACGTCTGTAGCAGAGCACACGGGGTGGGGCCACCTGGGGGAAACGCAAGGGGAAGAAGGAAGAGGGGGTTCGCATACAAAGTGAAGGAGAGAAGGGTGAAGGGGTAGTAGGGACTTGTTGGGCTGTTCGTTTGGCGGCTGGTGCAAAAGCAGTCTGTTGCTCTGCGCATTTCTGTGCAACATCTCCACACCAATGTGAACCGCACCCTCACCCACGAGCACCACATTTCACCCACCTGAACCGCATTCTTTCCACGGCGAAAGCAGCTTTGGCCTCATTAGCAGCCATCGCAGCAGCCCGCTTCCTCTCCTCCTCACCCTCCTCCCTGCCCCCACTCCCCTCTTCCCCTCCCCCACCCTCCACATCCCCCTCCCCTCCCCCTGCTGCCTGCGGTGGCAGCTGTAGCGGCGAGCAGAAGGAGCCGTTGAAGGCTGTAGCGCCAAAGGTCAGCCACGGGAGCGACTCGTGCTCCTGTAGCAGCGCTGGCAGCGAGAGGGGCGGCGGGATTTGGAGGTACTCGTCGATGTCGGACACGAGCAGCCAGCGGGCGGCGTTGCGCGTCCGGTATATGCAGTCCTGGATGGCAAGATGCTGGGCGGGTTGGGGAGCGAAGGGGTGGGGGTGGGGTGAGGGGCGGGTGAAGATGCTGGGCGGGTTGGGGAGCGAAGGGGTGGGGATGGGGTGAGGGCAGGTGAAGGTTGGATTTCTATGGATGGACAGAGGCGTGGTGGAAGAGAAGTTTATTTAGGCTCCTAGTACCTCTTTTTTCCTATGGGTCGGTGGGCATAGGGGGCAAGAAGGGAGAGAGAGTGTTGCCGCGACTGATCAGCTCCCACCCCCCCTCCCCTTCAACATACCTCGCCGTAGTTCCACACGTCCCACTGCAGCACCTCTCTGAACCCCCACGTCACTACACCACGCCTCTCTTGACCCAAGCACCAAGTACAGCCCATCCCACACATTGTTCTGATCCTGACAGTACAGCCCATCCCATCCCCCACATGCCAATCACCCCCCACATCCCCATAGTTACATACCTCCCCGTAGTTCCACACGTCCCACTGCAGCACCTCTCTGAACCCCCACGTCACTACACCACGCCTCTCTTGACCCAAGCACCAAGTACAGCCCATCCCACACATTGTTCTGATCCTGACAGTACAGCCCATCCCATCCCCCACATGCCAATCACCCCCCACATCCCCATAGTTACATACCTCCCCGTAGTTCCACACGTCCCACTGCAGCACCTCTCTGAACCCCCACGTCACGTCCACCATGCCCCGCTTCACCCTTGGCGCCAGCACCCGCTGCACCTCCCTGTGCGCCGCCCCCGCCTCCCCGTTGCCCTTAATGCCCCCCGCGTCGTAGAGCAGGAAGCGGTCCACAGGGAGCAGCACGCGGTGGAAGTGCAGCCACTCGAGGAGCCTCCTGGCGTCGATGCTGCCGTGGATGGGCGCCACGCATGCCGCTACGTTCAGAGGGAGAGGGGATGGCGCTTCCAGTGGCTGCGGGACGGGAAGCGAGAGAAGCGGAGAAGAGAAGGGAAGCGTGGGTTCAGGGAGGGAGGGATTGGTTGAGAACCCCCCGCCTCCCCGTTGCCCCCAATGCCCCCCGCATCGTAGAGCAGGAAGCGGTCGACAGGGAGCAGCACGCGGTGGAAGTGCAGCCACTCGAGGAGCCTCCTGGCGTCGATGCTGCCGTGGATGGGGGCCACGCACGCTGCTACGTTGAGAGGGAGGGGCGAAGGGGCCTCCAGTGGCTGTGGAAGTGGGGGTTGGGTGGGAGGGAAGGGAAAGGGGGGGTTCAGGAGAGGGGATTGGTTGGGATGGGAACCACACTGAAGTCGTCTGAGGTAGCCCCACAGTACGCCCACGCTCCCCCACCACCCCCTTTCTCCATGGTAGAGCAGGAAGCAAGCGGTCGACCGGGAGGAGCACGCGGTGGAAGTGCAGCCACTCTAAGAGCCTCCTGGCGTCGATGGTTCCATGGATGGGGGCCACGCACGCTGCTACGTTGAGAGGGAGGGGCGAAGGGGCCTCCAGTGGCTGTGGAAGGGGAAGAGTGGGAGGGAAGGACGTGAAGGGAAGGAGGGGTTCAGGGAGAGAGAGAGAGAGAGAGAGAGAGAGAGAGAGAGAGAGAGAGAGAGAGAGAGAGAGAGAGAGAGAGAGAGAGAGAGAGAGAGAGAGAGAGAGAGAGAGAGAGAGATTGGTTGAAGAACCACAGTAACGTTTTCCGCCGTTACAACACGGCCACGCCAACCGCCACCCCTCTCCGCACACAAGGAAGCGGTGGTCTGGGAGGGAGGAGGCGCTTTTGGGGAATTCTCACAAAACGCGTGCATTAACTTTGGATGGGAGGAGGATGCGGTGGAATGGGAGGAGGATGCGGTGGAAGAGCAACTACTCAAAGAGCCGCCTGGTGTCTGTGGTGAGGTGATAGGTGGGGAGGGAGAGTGGGAGTTGGGTTGGGGGGACGCTACAGCAAAGACCAGGAATTTCCAGGAGCTGTGTTAGACATTTCTCACCTCACTGGCCTCCTCCCTGTACGGGTATAGCATCTCCTGCTCTATCCTTGCTTCCAGGTGCCCGCCTGCTGCCTTGGTGGCGCTGTTGAGTGTGCACAGCAGCACTGCCACGTCATACTGCCACCCACCCACGTGGGCATGGAGTGGGGAACAGAATAAGGGGTGGGATAAGGCAGCAGGAGAGAGGGGGGACACTTTTGCAAACTGTATGTTCTGAGCATAATCGTGAACATATCATCATCTGTCATAATGTGCTGGAACCCTGACTTTTGAGACGTCTCAAAATTCATCTTCTTGGAATGATCACGAACAGTATCATCATCACTGTGATAACGTGCATGAGGATGTGAAAATTCGTCTTCTTTGAATAGATAGTATGAGGATAACGTGCATGAGGATGTAGATATGATACACATCCTCATCAACGTGTCACTGGACTGATGGAGAGGTCGCCACGCCATCTATACTGGAGGGAGCCATCAGAACAAGCCATGGAGTGCATGGGCCATTCACGTGCATACAAGCCATGGAGTGCATGGGCCATTCACGTGCATACAAGCCGTGATGAGCTTACAATGTAGTTGTGATGCTTGCCCACGAGGCTAATGGAGAGGTCGCCACCTATACGCGAGCCATCGGAGCCATGCCACGTGCAATCAGTGAGGCGTGTCTTGCCCTCCATGGCCACCGGCACCATGCCTATTATGGCTATGCGCCATGCACTCATGCGGTATGCACTGGGGGAAGGAGGGGAGAGAGGAAAAGGGTCAAGAGAGTCAATGGAGTCAACTGAGGCGTGTCTTTCCCTCCATGGCCACCGGCACCATGCCTTTTATGGCGATGCGCCATGCACTCATGCGGTATGCACTGGGGAGTGAGGGAGAGAGAAAGAGGTCAACGGAGTCAATGGGAGTCAAGAGAGGCGTGTCTTGCCCTCCATGCCCACCGGCACCATGCCTATTATTGCAATGCGCCATGCACTCACTCGGTATGCACTGGGGGATGCAGGGGCGAGGGGAATAGGGTCAAGAGAGTCAATGAAGTCAATGGGAGTCAACTGAGGCGCGTCTTGCCCTCCATGCCCACCGGCACCATGCCCGCTATGGCTATTCGCCATGCACTCATGCGGTATGCACTGGGGGATGTAGGGGATGTTAGAATTGAGAGAAGTGTGTGAACTAGAAAGAGAAGGGAGTACAAGTACCTAACCCTAGAATTGTGTACCCCCTAAAGGCTAACCCACTGTAGCCTAAACAACTACAACATATATAATGTTTGACACACCCCCATAGGCGAAGTGGGGGAGAGCAAGGGGTCACAAGACCAGTCAGAGCAAAGCAAAGCAAAACAAGCTCAGGGTGGATCTCAAGGATACCACACAAATTCCGAGCACAAGCAAGTGGTCACAAGACCAGTTCACATGCAGTTTGATAATATAACAAGAGGTACAGTGATCACAACCTAGCAAGTGAAAGCATGCAGGTATATATAGAGATCACAGTACAAGCAGAGTCAAGAAGTGAGCAAGTGAGGGACAGTAGGCACAAGGCCTAGAACAGTACAGAATCGCTGATGATCACAAGGCTGAAGCGCCTTGGTGAACACATCAGCAGTGTTGGCCCGAGTGGCCACGTACGAAAGACGAAGCTGACCACGCTGCTGCAGCTCTCTAGCAAGGAAGTAGCGCAGAGCGATGTGCTTCGTTCTGTGCTCCAGTCTGTGCTCCTGACACAAGGCAAGGGCGGCCTTGTTGTCGACGTACAGCACTGGAGGAGAACGAGGCCGCTCTCCCAGGTCGGTCAGCAGGTAGGTGAGCCAGCGAAGCTCCTGGGCAGCCATGGCTGTGGCGTAGATCTCAGCCTCACAACTGGAGCTGAGAACAGAGGAAGAGCGTGTAGAACGCCAAGAAACTGAGCCAGAGCCAAGGCTGAAGGTGTAACCCTGAGACGACCGCTGAGTAGCCTGGTCGTCAGCCCAAGAAGTGTCTGAGTGTCCAGTAAGGACAACGTCGCGCCGTCCTCCAAGCACAAGCCCCATGCCCGACGTACTGCACAAGTAGCGCAACACCCTCTTAGCGGCATCCATGTGCTCCTTCCGGTGACGGCCAGGAGCGACATAGCGTGCTAGGATGCTAAGAGGGTATGCAAGGTCAGGTCGAGTGCAGGTCATCAGGTACATGAGGCAGCCCACAAGCTCTGGATACGGGCCACTCGGCTCTACGGACTCATCCGAAGGCAGAGCTGAGAGCGAGTGACCGGTAGGCAGAGGAGTGGGCTGAGGCGAGGAGTACGTGAAGCGGAAGCGCTGAAAGACCTGCTGCACCATGTGTGACTGAGTCAAGGTGATGGTGCGCTGTGCTCTGTCCCGGGTGATCCGCAAGCCAAGATAGCTTGTCAGCTCACCCAGGTCTGTGCACGTGTGTCTCTTCTGCAGCTCCGACTTCACGTGGGCGAGTGCCTCAGTGTCAGCAGTAGCAAAGACCAAGTCGTCTACGTACACGAGAACGTAGAACGGCGGCAGAGTGGCGTCGGTGCGTAGAAACAGCGACGGGTCAGCAGTAGAAGGAGCAAACCCAAGAGCCGCAAGCGTAGTCCTCAGTGTGTCGTGCCACTCACGGGGTGCCTGGCGGAGACCGTAGACTGGCCGCCGGAGGCTCCACTGGGTACCAGCAGGGAACGACCCAGTGAAGCCAGGTGGGCGGCGCAGCCAGATCTCCTCGTGCAGGGTGCCCTGTAGGAACGCAGTGCTGAAGTCAAGGCAGTGGAGCTCGTAGTCACGCCGAGCAGCGACGTGCAGCAGAACCCGAAGAGTGGTCATCTTCGGGGTCGGGGAGAAGGTCTGGAAGAAGTCAACTCCCTCTCGCTGACTGAAGCCTCGTGCAACGTAACGCGCCTTGAAGACAGGCGGAGAACCCGGCGGCCGCTTCACCCTGAAAATCCACATGCCACTGACGATGTTCGCCCCAGGTGGGGGAACCTCGTCGACGTAGGTGCCTGTGGACTTCCAGGAAGCCATCTCTGCGTCCATGGCTGTCTGCCACTGAGAGGAGTAGAGACCCTCCATCGCCTCTGCGTAGGAGCGTGGGGTCGGGATGTTTGGTGCATCCGGGTCTCCCTCAGGGGCAATCAGCATGGACACGAGATGAGGTGAAGCAGCAGCAAAGCACTCAAACTCCTCCTGTCTGTCCTCAAGGACGTCCGTGCCAAGAGCACACTCACCCCCGACGGACGGAGGACAGACAGACTCAGACTCAGCAACAAGGCTAGCGGCGTAGTCTAGACGACAGGCGGCAGCAAAGTCAACAAGCTCAGCGACTAGAGCAGACGCAGCAGAGGACTCAAAGGTAGGGTCAGTGACAACAGTGGCAAGGAGACGCGCGACAGTAGGACTGGCAGCACGAAGAGAGTCAGACTCCGGGTCAGCGAGAGCAGGAAGAGAGGACGCTGGTGGAGACGGCAGAGGGACACGCTGTGGAGCAGTGGTCGGACGCAGTGTCATATAGTGAGTGCCAAGGACAGGAGAAGGACGCTGACGCGGAGCACGACGACCAGCGCGGGCAGTGCGGACAGGTGACTCTGGACGCGACTCAGGCGACTCTGGACTAGACTCAGGCGACGGAGGACGAGACTCAGGCTCACGACGCTCCGTAAAGCTACCTGTCGGCGCAGTGTAAGGAGAAGGACCAGGCAGCGGAGAGGCAGGCTGTAACTGTGACCGCGACTGGACAGGCGGTGGACTCAGTAGGGGAGGAGGAGTAGGACCAGGAGAGGGCGGGAGACCAAGAACCTGCTGAAGGAGCGGAACGTAGTACGGCCGCAGCCGCTCAGTACCTCCAGCTCCAACCCCCTCAGCAGCTCCAGTCCCAGCCGCACCACCAGCAGCACCTCCAGTAGCGTCAGCACCAGCAGCACCTCCAGCAGCGCCAGCAGCACCGCCAGCAGCAGTAGCACCTCCAGCAGCTCCAGCAGCACCAGCACCAGTAGTACCTCCAGCAGCTCCAGCAGCACCAGCACCAGCAGCACCAGCACCAGCAGTACCTCCAGCAGCTCCAGTAGCACCAGTACCAGCAGAACCAGCACCAACAGCACCTCCAGCAGCTCCAGCAGCACCACCAACAGCGCCAGCAGCACCAGCACCAGTAGTACCTCCAGCAGCTCCAGCAGCACCAGCACCAGCAGCACCAGCACCAGCAGCACCTCCAGTAGCTCCAGCAGCACCAGCACCAGCAGCACCAGCACCAGCAGCACCAGTACCAGCAGCACCTCCAACAGCGCCAGCAGGACCGCCAGCAGCAGCAGCACCTCCAACAGCTCCAGCAGCACCAGCACCAGTAGTACCTCCAGCAGCTCCAGCAGCACCAGTACCAGGGTCCACGACACGAGTAGCGCCACTCCGGAGACTGCAGAGCCGAGCGTACCACTCTCTAAGCCGCTGAGGAGAGGGCGGCTCCCGCCTAGGAGGGGGGGCACGAGCACCGGCTCCAGAAGCACCCCTCCTGAGGCTGCAGTACTGTAAGTACCACTCACGCAGCTGCTGTGGGGAGGGAGCGCCTCCAGGTGTAGCACCCTCAGGCTCAGTACCCTCAGTCGTAGCTCTGCCAGGCTCAGCACCCCCAGACTCAGCACCCGCAGGCTCCGCACCCCCAGGCTCAGCACCCCCAGACTCCGCACCCCCAGGCTCCGCACACTCAGGCTCAGCACCCCCGGACTCCGCAACCCCAGGCTCCGCACGCTCAAGCTCAGCACCCCTAGCAGGACGAGAGTCGACAGCTACCTCGACAAGCTCAACCGGGTCTACCTGGGACACACCTGAGGGAGCGGCACCTTGAGGGGGGAGGGGGTCTACCACAGCAGCACCTGGCGCGAGGAAGAGAGGCGGAGGGGGGAGCGGGGCAGTGCGGTAGGGGAAGAGGCGGTAGTAGGGCACCGACTCGTCAAAAGTGACGTCCTGAGAGGGCAGGACACGGCGCGAGGTGGCGTGGTAAAACTGCCAACCAGACGCGTCGGGGACAAAGCCAAGGAAGACGCAAGGAACAGCGCGGGAGGAGAGCTTGTCCGCGGACGTATCGCGAACAAAAGCTCGAGATCCCCAGACAACGCGACGCATCGCCAACCTCTCCCGTCCAACGCAGTGTCGGTGAAGTCTCCGGAACGGAGACACGGGGCCAGAGGTTGAGCTGATGCGCAGCGTATCGGACCGCAAACGGCCACAGAAAGTGGGGAGCAGCCGCATGGATCAAGGAGGTACGAGCGACCTCCATGACCAAGCCAATGCGGCGCTCAGCAACCCCATTCTGCTGTGGAGAGGCCGGAAGCGTGAACGACTGGCGGATGCCGTGCTCCGCACAGTAGGCTGCCAGGAGGTCGGAGGAGAACTCACCACCTCTGTCAGAGTGCAGACGCAGGACAGGAAAGTCCGAGTGGAACCGCTCGCTGAGCTGGAGACGAGAAGCGCTGATCCAAGGGATCAAAACATCAGGGACCTCACCCTTGGTGCGCAAGGGGAAGACCGTGGTGTAGCGCGAGTAGTCGTCAACAACGATCAGGAAGTACCTCTCCTGACCCTGTCCACGGACGCGGGCTGGGCCCCACACGTCCATGTGGAGTGTCTGCAAGGGAGCAGTCGTCGGGGGAAACGAGGAGGAGTGAGGAGCGGCGCGCTGCCGCCCCTCGACACAGGGAAGACAGGGAGGAGCAGGCGAGGGTGGGAGGGGAGGGAGAACCCTGGGAAGACCAGAGACAAGGTACCGTTTGTGCATGGCACGAAGGCGCTGCACTGACGGGTGACCAAGGCGGTGGTGCCAGAGGACGGTCTCGTATGCTAGAGAGCGACACGAGCAGGGGGCCGACAGCTGACCTGACGCAGACGCAGACGCAGCTACCTGAGGGGACTCAGTGGTCAGTGTGTACAGGTCCGACCCCGGCTGCCGAGTGAAGGTAGCCAGGTGACGGCCCGTCCGAGCACACGTGCAGTGTGTCACGCGCTCGTAGGCAGGGGTGAACTGGTGGACACCCCCGTCCTGGAGCGCACAACCCGCCACCAAGTTCGTAGAGAACGAGGGGAGGTGGAGACCTGACAGTGTGCCCGACGGAACCGCAGGACAAGGAAGGACAGTGGAGGAGGTCGCAATGACCGGACCCCCAGAGGGGTCAGCAAGGGAGACAGCAACTGGCCGAGCAAGCTGCTCAAGGGCAGTGCGGTCACGAAAGAAACAGCGAGAAGCTCCTGAGTCTAGAGTGAAGGTGTGCAGTGCCTCAGTGGACTCAGTACCAGGGGGCGCAGACTCACGAGCACCTAGAGCAGCAGCCTCACCAGCACCTGGGGCAGCAGACACGCAAGCACCTAGAGCAGCAGCCTCACCAGCACCTGGGGCAGCAGACACGCAAGCACCTAGAGCGGCAGCCTCACTGGTCCGAATGCCCGGGTCGGGCGGAACACGCAGGTACTGATCACCCTCTCCACTAGTAGACAGTACATACATGGCACCAAGAATAGCATCAAAGTCAAGAGCATAGATATCAATGTTCTTCCTCATCAGCTCAGCCCAGCGGGGCAGCTCAGTGGCAGTAGGGAACTGAGTGCGCCAAGCGTCGTCAAGGCGGGAGAAGCAGCGCTGCGTGGTGTGCGCCCTCCCGCACGTCTGGCCAGTGCGGTCACCAGTGCGGATGACGTACGTGCGGTTAAGGCCACCCCCCCCCCCCCCGTGCTGAGAGTACCACTCACGAAGCTCCTGGGACGACTGAGTGCGCTGCTGGCTCTGGCCACCGCCAGTGCCTCCACGACCACCACCGCCGCCGCCACCACCTCGACCACCACCGCCCCTGCCGCCGCCACGTCCACCGCCGCCCCCACCACCGCCCCCACCCCGGCCACCTCCTCCGCCGCTGCCGCCACCACCCCCACCGCTGCCACTAGCCCCTCCCGCCCCGCCACCACCCCCACCGCCTCCACCGCCCCCACCACCGCCTCCCCCGCCGTCACCTCCACCTCCCTTGCCCCCTTTGCCCTTGCCGCTGCGGCGCCAGCTCGGAGCGGACGCAGTCCCGACCTGCTCAGTACCAACGAGGTCGACAGCAGCAGCAGAGGCGACAGAGGGGAGAAGGGGGGAAGGGGAACACCCCTCGAAGAAAGGGGTGCGGGGGTCGCCACGAGAGGCAGCTACAGCGACTGTGCTAGTCTCAGCTGCAAGCAGTTCCTTCTCGAGCAGGTCAACGGTGAGCTCAGTGGGGCAGCGAGCGAGGAAGTGGTCCCTGACCAAACGAAGAGAGTCAGGGAGGCGGGTGACTAGGTGGTAGAGAGTGAGCCAGAGCGGGGGGGGGGTGCGTGGCAAGAAACTCAGCGGGAATAGCGGCACGGAAGCGAGCCTCACTAGTGCGGAGGTGCGTGATGAGGTCAGCGACTGTGGAGAAAGCGGACAGGTCTGGGAACAGGTAGGGAAGCGAGAGACGGCCTAGCGCAGCAGAGGCAGGCGAGGAGTAGCTTGCAACTACAGCAGTGTACAGTGCCTGCGCAGTCTTGTGCTGGCCAAAGTGCTCGCGCTCATCTACCGGCAGGGAGTTGCGAATAGCGAAGCGAGCGTGGGCGTCACGAGTCTGCCACTGTGAGCGGGCAGTACTGTCAGCAGTGGTAGCAGGGGCAGCAGCGAGTCCTAGTGCGTGATCGTACAGCGAGATGTCCTCCTTGGCAGTGAGCTGGAGGAACAGGTGCAAGTCATCGAGCCAGGTGTCAAACTTCAGCGGGCGGCCCTCAGCATCGAAAGCGAGCACAGCAGGGCTAGCCATAGTAGCAGTAGGAGCGGTAGCAGTAGTTGCAGCAGGAACAGCAGTAGAGTCAGTAGCAGTGACAGTAGCAGTGGCGCGGCTCGGTAGGGCGGCGCGGCTCGGTAGGTCGGCGCGGCTCGGTAGGGCGGCGCGGTTCGGTAGGGCGGCGCGGCTCGGGCCAGGTGAGGCGGCTCGGTTCGGCGGCGGCAGCTACGCGAGGTGGGGCACGCAAGGGCGTGCAGGGCAGAGCGGGGCCGGTCCGCTCGGTGCACTAAGTGGCGGGCTAGCGAGGGCGGGGCCGGTACGCGAGGGGCACGCAAGGGCGCGCGGGTGGGCGTGGGCCGGTCGCACTGGGCACGAAGTGGCGGCTAGCGAGGGCGGGGCCGGTACACGAGGAGCACGCAAGGGCGTGCGGGTGGGTGGAGGCCGGTCGCACGGGGCACGTAGGGGCGTGCGCTAAGGGGCGGGGCCGGTCTGTAAGAGGCACGCAAGGGCGCGCGGGGCAGCAAGCGCGCGGGGCCGCACAGGGCACGTAAGGGCGCGCGGGGCTAGGCGGGGCCGGTCGCAAGAGGCGCGCTAGGACGCGTCGACGGCGTGGGCGGCTACACGGTCGCGCGCACCAGAAAAAAGGGCCGCGCGGGCAAAAAACGGGCCGCGCGCGGGCGGCTAGCGGGTGACGCGACTGAAAAGCGAGGCGCTCGAGGGCGCACTAGAAGCGAGGCGCACGAGGGCGCAAGTAAGAGAAGGCGCACGAGGGCGCCACTAGCGGAACGGTGGGCCCTTAGGAACGGTAGGTCCTAGGTTCCTAACCTAGGCTCGTAATACCATGTTAGAATTGAGAGAAGTGTGTGAACTAGAAAGAGAAGGGAGTACAAGTACCTAACCCTAGAATTGTGTACCCCCTAAAGGCTAACCCACTGTAGCCTAAACAACTACAACATATATAATGTTTGACAGGGGAGGGGTGGGAGGGGAACAACGAGGGAGGAGGAAGCGGGTAAAGAGAGTCAATGGAGTCAATGGAGTCAATGGAGTCAATGGAGTCAATGGAGTCAATGGAGTCAATGGAGTCAATGGAGTCAATGGAGTCAATGGAGTCAATGGGTCAATGGAGTCAATGGAGTCACACATGGCATGGTTCTCCATGGCCACCGGCACCATGCGGTCCATGCCTATCATGGCTATGTGCCATGGGCTCATGCGGTACGCACTGGGAAGTGAGGGAGAGAGAACGAAGGTCAAAAATGGCTATGAAATCATGCTGCGCTCACCTAAACTTGACGAAGCCGTAGGCGCCGTATTTCTCAAACACGCGCTGCCGCCAGTAGTGCGGGCGGTCGTCCGTTATCTTCCACCGTCTGAACCCGTTCCTCCGCCACGGCCGGTGGTATACCCCGCTCCCCTGCCCCCCACTGTTACTGCCGCCACTGCTGCTTCTGCCGCCACTGCTGCTGCTGCCGCCACTGCTGCTGCTGCCGCCAGCTTCAGCAACACCAGCTATAGACTCACCTTAACTTTGTGCTCACCTGACCTTTGAACTTTCCTGAACTTCGGGCTCACCTGAACCTGACGAAGCCATAGGCACCATATTTCTCAAACACGTGCTGCCGCCAGTACTGCGGGCGGTCGTCCGTGATCTTCCACCGCCTGAACCCGTTCCTCCGCCACGGCCGGTGGTATACCCCGCTCCCCCTCCCCCCGCTGCCACCGCTGCTGTTGCTGCTACCACCGCCAGCTTCAGTCGCAGCAGCAGCAGTGGCGGCGGCGGCGGCGGCAGCAGCAGCGGCGGCGGCGGCAGCGGCAGCGGCAGCCCGAGCATTGTTCTGCCGTGCCTGGTGCTGGAGAGTGGAGAGGAGAGGATAAGGTGGAAAGAATTTCGAGACGTCTCAACAGTCTTCAATAGCACTGACACAAGCAGCAGCGGAGGTGGCAGTAGCAGCCCAAGCGTTGGCGTTTCTCTGCCGTGCCTGCTGCTGGAGAGTGGAGGGGATTCGGATGAGGGTGGAAAGACGCAGCAGGGGATGAGGACACGGTGGGGGGTTTGGGAGGGGGACGAGGAGGGAGGGGGGTTGAGGAGAAAGGGACGATTAGAAAACCAGCATCCAGCATCCAGCTTCTCAGCCCGTTGACACACCCACGTGACACTCCCCACACCCAGCCACCACGCGCTTTCCTTCCCTCTTCAACTACTGCACCTCCCTGTGCGCCATCTTCTCCCCTTGCTGCACCGCATCCCAAGGCCTGCCTGCAACCTGCCTCTGCTTTGAGATGACCATCTAAAAGAAACCCTGCTGCCTGTGCACCTTCTCCTGTGCCTATGCCTCACCACCCTCTACTCCACATTTGAGGCTCCTACTCCCTCATCTCACCTGCACTCGAGCCAGGGCCGCCATTTGCTGAGACAGCTCCTCGCCCTGCCGGCGCACGCGGGCTTTAAGCTCTTTGATCTCCGCCTGCAGCTGCTGCAGCCCCTCCTGCCCCTCCCTCAGCACCTGCGCCGCGTCCCCCGCCGCCTTGCTGCTCGCCTGGCGCAGCTGCCCCACCTCCCGCGCCACCCCCTCCATGCCTGCTGCCAGCTGCTGCCGCACCTGCTCTGCGTCTTCTTGCATGGCGCCTGGGGGGTAGTGGGCACAGGGGGGGCAGAGAAGGCGCAGACGGCGGGGTTAAAGCAAAGAAGGAGGAGAGCGGATAGGGAAAAGCAAAGAAGAGAGGCTGTGAGAGGAAAGGTGCCGCCTTGCTGCTCGCCTGGCGCAGCTGCCCCACCTCCCGTGCCACCCCCCCCATGCCTGTAGCCAGCTGCTGCCGCACCTGCTCTGCATCCTCCTGCATGGCGCCTGGGGGTAGAAGGAAAAGAGAAGACGGGATAGGAGAGGGTATAAGGGAAAGGTGCCACCCCCTCCATCCCTGCAGCCAGCTGCTGCCGCACCTGCTCTGCATCCTCCTGCATGGCGCCTGGGGGGGAGTGGGCACGGGGGAAGGCAGAGAGGGAGGAGAGGGGACGGGGGGCAAGAGGGGGGGAGGGAGAGGGCACGGGGGAAGGCAGAAGGGGGTTATGACAGGACGGGGGACAGCAGAGGGCAGGGGGAGAGCACGGGGAGGGGACAGTGAATTCAAAAAAATAAAATAACAAAAAACTACGTACATGAGTGTGCAGGAGAGAGAGGAAATGAGATGCCTGAGGCAAAACTAATACAAATGGACCGATTGAGAGCCCAACGAGTCAGTGGAAGAGGGGGGTCATGTGGACAGACAGACGATGCTGGTACGGGTAAGAAGAGGTGGGTGCACGCCGAGCAGGAATGAAAAATGGACAAAAATCTATTCGTCAGGAGAGGAATTTTGAGCATTCTCAGAGATGAGTTGATGGTCGAGAGAAAGGGTCGAAGATATCGATTCGCCAGAGAAGGAAAAGGGTTCTCAAAAGGGCCCCTTGATACTCGAGAGAACAAACCCCTTCATCTTCTTCTAAGGTTTCTTCTCCAGTGCTTGGTGATTCATTTTATATATATATATATTAAAAAAAAAAAAAAAAAAAAAATCTCCTCAGGAGGAGCTTTCATTCAAAACTTGTTCTATCGAATTCTTCTCTCCGACCACTTTTACGATCCGCAAGGGAAGAGAGGGGGCTTACGGTGGAGCGCTGCGATGTCAGCTGCGGTGTACGCCAGCATGGCACGCTGACTCAGCTTTGTCCCGATTGGCTGCTGCAGATTGGCATTGCAGGATAGTGGGCGGGGGGAAAAGGAAACAGGGTAAGGCGGATGAGGAGGCAGCAGTTGATGACGGCAGTGCGGATGGTGTGGAGAGTTGAGATGCTAGAAAAGGTGACGTTGAGAAGCAGGCATTGCTTATTGTGTAAGAGAGAGTGGTGGTTCTAGTGCACGGGGAGTGACGGGTATCATGCATCACATCATGCATCACATCACGCATTAAGCATCATGCAGCATGCAGCATGCATCACATCATGCATCACATCACGCATTAAGCATCATGCAGCATGCAGCATGCATCACATCATGCATCACATCACGCATTAAGCATCATGCAGCATGCAGCATGCATCACATCATGCATCACATCACGCATTAAGCATCATGCAGCATGCAGCATGCATCACACCATGCAGCATCATGCAGCATGCAGCATGCATCACACCATGCAGCATCATGCAGCATCATGCAGCATCATGCAGCATCATGCAGCATCATGCAGCATCATGCAGCATCATGCAGCATCATGCATCACATCATGCATCGCGTCATGCATCACATGCTGCGTACTCCTGTCTTTGCAAGGCTGGCGAAGCCCTCGGGTGGCAGGTCCAGGGCGCTGAGCTTCTCCACCCATGTCACTCGCAGCTGGGGGTGTCAAGAGGTGCACAGCCATGCACAGAGACGCACAGCAGGTCACGCGCATGGGGATGGGGATGGGGATGGATGGGGATGGGGATGGATGGGGATGGGCATGGGCATGCGGATGGGGATGGGCATGGGGATGGGGATGGGCACGGGGATGGGCATGGGGATGGGGATGGATGGGGATGGGCATGGGCATGCGGATGGGGATGGGCATGGGGATGGGCATGGGCATGGGGATGGGCATGGGGATGGGCATGGGGATGGGGATGGATGGGGATGGGCATGGGCATGGGGATGGGGATGGGCATGGGGATGGGGATGGGCATGGGGATGGGCATCGGGATGGGCATGGGGATGGGCACGGGGATGGGCATGGGGATGGGCATGGGAATGGATGGGGATGGGCATGGGGATGGGCATGGGGATGGATGGGGATGGGCATGGGGATGGGCATGGGGATGGGCATGGGGATGGGCATGGGGATGGGCATGGGGATGGGCATGGGGATGGGCATGGGGATGGGCATGGGGATGGGCATGGGGATGGATGGGGATGGGCATGGGGATGGATGGGGATGGGCCTGGGGATGGGCATGGGGATGGGCATGGGGATGGGCATGGGGATGGGCATGGGGATGGGCAGGTCCACAGCAGGTCCACAGGGCTGAGCTTCTCCACCCATGTCACCCGCAGCTGGGCGTGTCAATCAACACTCAAGAGGTACGCAGCCATGCACGGAGACGCACAGGAGGGCATGGGGATGGGCATGGTTGAGTGTGGAGGCATGCGGTCGCGCGGGAGACGCAAGGTAGATGTTGTTATGCACATATCATGATCCATGAATGTATGCATGGTACACTGATGCATGGCATGGCCCATTGATGCATGGCATGGGCTCATTTATGCATGGCATGGCTCAATGATGCATGGCATGGGCTAATTGATGCATGGCATGGCTCATTGCGGCATGAAATGGTGGATGCATGGCAAAACTCATGGTCGAGCAAACGCAGAGCCTATAAATGGGGAAGCGCAAGGTTAATGGCGAACCTGCAGCAGGGAGACGAGGTAGTAAAAGGCGAGCACGGCGAGGAAGAGGTATTGCTCCTGCCATGCACGACATTGAGAGGAAGGGGCAAGGACATGCACCACAGCGCAAGGCACGCGTGGTAAGAGGGAGGGAGTGGAGGGGTTGCAAGTGGATGGTAGGAGGGAGCGGTGAGAAGATACGTGGCGGTTTCAAGAGGAGCCATGTCAGTGCGTGCAGCAACCATGCTGCGGATCGGATGCACTGAGCTGGGGCTTTGCTGGAACGGAGCTTGGCGAAACTTGTGGAATGGAGAGACAGCTGCTGCTATGCAACTTGGGAGATGGCATGGGTGTGATTCTGGCGACGCGCGATCTCCATTTCACGGCTGACGGCATTCCCATGGTAACGGGTAACATGAACATGGTAACGACGCACAACATGAATGGGTATCCACAGAGGTCTTGTCTTCACGGATAACGAAAAACACCTCATGTTTATGGCTGGTCCGGGCTCATCACAAGCGCGCCGCGCCGGCTGCAAGGTGAAATAGCGTCAAGTACACGCTACTATTCCATTGGGACTCACTGGTACGAGAATGCGAGACATCGCCGTTCAGTAATGCGGGTAAAGAATCAGCGGCGTCAAGGGACTGGGTCTGGCATGAGAAACATTCACACGTATGCGCTAGACTATTGATCAAAATCGTGTGGTTCTAGTTCGCATGCATTTTCTGGAATGGTTCTTTTACACTATCAGTCCTTGGGTTCTGGAAGTGTAGTGTGGTCGCCTAGAGTCTCGCGTCGCGTGCCGAATTTCCGTCGAGAGGTAACCGCTTCACGACGCAGCAGCTGGCTAATTAACTCATAAAGACTCGAATGATACGAGGACCACATGACATGAATGGACAACGGACATTCCTTCCTTCCTCCCAGTTCAGGATTCGGGTATTTCTGGCTGGACCTCATCGTATGGGAACTTATACCCTTTCAGAGGCAGCTCGTTACTCGAATCAGAGCTTGAGCGTTCATACATGGTATCTGGCATAACAGCAGGTAGAGTGAGTCGTTTTAATTCTGAATTGAATTCACTAGTGCAATGCATGCGTCACGGTTGGGAACGCGCTGGGGTTGTCAGCCAGATAGCGGAGAGGTCTGACTGAAAAAGGTATTGGATAGATGAGCCAGATCTTTTCAGACAGGTCTTTTCATGCTTTCATAATTGGTTTCTTTGCATGTAGCACGCTGTTGACAACACCGCATGAAGCCTAGTAGCGGGAACGGTGTGACAGAATCATTGGGGTCTGCGTGGCAACGAGGTTGTTCGCCAAGTGGAGTGTAGGGTATGATTTGAGTCATCAAGCAGATTCTTTGGAACCACCGTGCTCTTCGCAAGAGTGTGTAACCAGCTATCGAAACTGAGTGGACGCACAAAGGTTCTCGCACTCGCCTGCTTGCGTGTTCGCACCACAAACCACGTCATCCAGGCTCCAAGTCACCCCATCCAGCTCCTTCCCTTGGGAAAGACGACAGGAACGCACACCATAATTTCGTACACTACAAAATAAGCAAATTACCAACTATAAGCTCATTCTGACATCGCCAGTTCAGAAGAGTCTGTCTCGAAGTCCCAAGACTTGTCGCATATCCGCATTCAGTCTTCAGTCTTGTCGCATATCCGCATTCCTGTGCGTCAGCAAGACCAGAGTTTGCTGTTCTTCTCTCATCCGCCTAGCCACATGGCCACCATGTCGCTTCAAGCTCTCTCGTCCGCCTCCACCCTCGTCCCGTCGCCGTCTCTTCGCACCACCTCGCCGAACTCCCTTCGCAAGGCCTCCGCCACCACGGTTGCGTCGAAGCGGACTGTCGTGCGCGCTCTCAAGGTACGCGCGGATCTGCCTAGCAGTTCCCTTGCAAGCGCAGCTCCCCTGCAAGCCGCTCCACTGCAAGCACCACACAGTGAAACAATTCCCCTATAAAATCAACGCAATTTTACTTGAACTATATTTCACCTCCTCCCCTCGTTGCTGTTGGGCAGAGTGACAGTACCGAGGGGGGGCACGAGCAGGAAGGCGGGAGGGGCGCCTCGTGGGGGGAGCGATGGCGGCAGCAGCACGCGGCGGCGGCGGTGGCGCTGGCGGCAGCAGCGGCTGTGGCGGGCCCCTTTGTTCCCGACGCTGCATTGGCATACATCGTACGTGGAGTGATGTCAGGTCTCGGGGGCACGAGGGGTGAGAGGTTGAATGAGCGAGAGAAAGGATAACTCGGCTGTGGCGGGCCCCTTGGTGCCTGACGCCGCCTTGGCCTGTATCGTACGTGGAACGCGAATGAGGGGGTCGGGTCGCGGGTATGAAAGGCAGGGGGGATGCGAGTTGATCGAGCGCGCAAGTGGATAAGTGTAAGCATTGGCGACAACAACGAGCGTCAGCAGCGGCTGTGGCGGGCCCCTTTGCGCCTGACGCGGCACTGGCATACATCGTACGTGGAACGCGAACGAGGTGTTACCTCAGCACCATGCACATGCGTACCTGCATCACGGTTATCTCCCTGTATCCGCCCTTCCTTTCAACACATCCTCCGCTCCGCCGTCCCTGTCTGCCCGTGCGTCCCAGGGAGGAGGTCCGTACGGTCGCGAGGTGACACGTGGCCAGGACCTGACGGGACGGGACTACAGCGGGCTGGACCTGCGGGGGCAGGACTTTAAGACGGTGGGTTGGTTCGATCTGGAAAGTGCCACGTTGACTTGCTCTGACTTGCGTTGACTCGCATTGGAAAGTGCGTCGACGTGAGAAGAAAGGGATGAGTTTTGCGAATCTCGTGAAAATGAATGACCCGAAAATACTCTGAGCCTTGGCTCACTCCTCTCGCAGTCAACTCGTGCTGGTCTCCCTATACAGTCTCGCCTTATCGGCCAACCGTCCCATTTTTTTACCTCTCACCTCCCCTCACCTCTCCCACTCTTATTATTCTTGGCTATCCCCTTCTCTCTTTATTCCCCCCCACCCACCTCCCTCCATCCCCTCCATCCCCCCCGTCTCCACCTCCTTCCATCTATCTGCAAACCCCACCACCCTTCCGGCCCACAGTCCATTCTGCGCCAGGCGAACTTCGCCGGGGCGAATCTCATAGGGGCTTCCTTCTTCGATGCTGACCTCACAGGTACCACCTCCCGCTGCCCTTGCCGCCTCACAGGTACCACCTTCCCCTACTGCCTCACATCACAGGTACCACCTCCCCCTGCCCTTGCCGCCTCACAGGCACCACCTCCCCTTGCCGCCTCACAGGCACCACCTTCCATTGCCGCCTCTCACAAAATGGCACCTTCCCCTCGTAAAGAACCCCACAAAGAAGGATTTCCACCCCGGCAGATGCCATTTCACAGCTAACTCCAGAGTTAGCACCGCCACCATTGCGCAAATGAACTCGCGCAGATGAACCCTCCTTCCCCAATGTTAAACACTTGCACCATTGCACAAATAGCACTTTGAAGTGGCAGCTGCACTGCATGCATCTCCCCCTCTCCCCATCTCCCCTTCTCCCCGTCTTCCGATCTTCCCATCTCCCCCTCTCCCCGTCTCCCTCTCTCCCCATCTTCCTCTCTCTCCTTCTCCCCCTTTCCCCATCTCCCCCTCTCCGTATCTCCCCCTCTCCCCATCTCCCCTTCTCCCCGTCTTCCGATCTTCCCATCTCCCCCTCTCCCCGTCTCCCTCTCTCCCCATCTTCCTCTCTCTCCTTCTCCACCTTTCCCCATCTCCCCCTCTCCGTATCTCCCCCTCTCCCCATCTCCCCTCTCCCATCTCCCCCTTCCCATCTTCTCCTTTCCTAATCTCCCCACTTTCGACTTCTCCTTCCCCGCATCTCCCCCATCAACTTTGCATTGCTCGCCAACCTTCGTTGCTCTCCTCCCGGTATCATCCGCTCTCTTCACTATCCATCCACCCCTTATCCTCCAACGCTTGTCTTCCGCACATCAGGGGCGGACTTCACAGGAGCCAACCTCACTGCGGCTGACTTCTCCCTCACCAGTGCAAACAAGGTGCGAGCAGTGAGCAGGGTGCGATGGGAACTACAAGGTGCTGCTACGCCCTTGCTTCGTTCCTCTGATCTTTCCTTCCCCTGGTATCCCCTCCTTCCCTCCCACTGGCTCCCGTCCCCCTTCCCCTCGTGCTGCAATCCGCCCTCTCCCACGCCTGTTTGCTATTGCGCCTCATAAACAGACCCCTTACCATCTTGTCCCCTCCCCCGTTGTCCCCTGCTTCCCGGCTGCCACGCGCACTCTCCCCCTCCCTTTTTCAAAAGGCCAACTTCACGAACGCCATTCTGGAGGGTATTTCCTTCACTGGCAACACGTCCTTCAAAGGCGCCATCATCACTGGCGCTGGTGAGTCACACTCACTTCCACCATCCCACTCCCTCCCTCTAACACTCACTTCCACCTTCCCCCTCGTTCACTCTAGCTCTCACTTCCAACCTCACGCTCACTCCCCTTCACCGGCAACACGCCCTTCAAGGGCGTCACCATCACTGGCGCTGGCCAGTGCTCCACTCACTCCTACGCCCTCACTCTCCCGCTCTCTGCCTCTCCCTCTCCTCCTTCACTGGCAAAGCGTCCTTCAGCGGATCAACCCCTGCTGCTGCGGGTATTTGCGCACCCTCTCCTGTTTCTGAGCTTTGGGGCTATTCTCGACAATAGATATATGATGGTGTGCGTGTGGGGAATGTGGTTCACTCACCACCCCATCCCCATGTCCATCCCCATCCCCATGCACATGCCCATGCCCATCGCCCCATGCCCACGCCCATGCCCATGCCCATGCCCATGCCCATGCCCATGCCCATGCCCATGCCCATGTCTATCACCCCATGCAGACTTCACAGACGTGTATTTCCGAGCGGATCAGAAGGCATACCTCTGCAGAGCGGCTGAAGGGTGAGTCGGGTTGTAAGGCCAATGTAGCGGCAGGTAGGTGCCACGGTCTTTGAGGGGTGTTGCAGTTGCGGGCTGGAAATGAGAAGGCGTACCACTGCAGAGCGGCTGTGGGGTGTTGCAGTTGCTGGGTGAGTGTGTGGTGTACGTGTGTGTGTCCACCATGCTGCCATGCCATGGCAATGTGGGACAGTCATCCCTTCTCCTGTTTTTACCAATTCTCCCCTTCTCCTGTGCTTCCGCACCAAGCTTTCTTCCCCATTGCTTCCCACCCCCGTTGCTTCCACCACGTTTCCTGCCCTTTCCTCCCCATCACTCCCCTCACTTTTGAATTCCCCTTGACTCAACCCCTCCCACCCCAACCCCACCTTCCCCTCCACCCGCCAAGCAGCACCAATCCTGTCACCGGCAACGACACCCGTGACACTCTGCTCTGCTAGCGGCTCTGCTTCAGTCACCGTGCTTGAGGCCCCTCGTCTATGTCGCTAGAGACCCGTTTCCTTGAGTCGCATCGCATTCTCTCGCTTAGCAGCTCGCATCCCCTCGTGTAGCTGCTCCACTTTTCAGTTATCTTTTCCGAGGAGCGACTGGGTAGCACTCCAGGCTGTTTTCGAGTCGACTCAAAAGCGATTGGTTGGCACTCCAGGCTGGTTATTGTAGATGTTGCAACTGCTCTTCCTGCCCTTTCTCATCTGCAATTTTTGTGGAGACCGAAACATTTCAAGCCAGCATCATCGCATGTACAGTACTTTTGTTAAAGCAAACTGGGGTGCACTTGTTGAAAACTTCAACGTTAATGAAATCTGACAACTGATGTAGTGTAAAAGCTTCAACAGTGACACAATTGATATGCAATACAGTTATGGTACCAAGGCATGCACACAGGTCAACACCCCCTGCACAGCAAAAGAAACTCCTACCAAACCTCTATTGGACAAGCATGTGCAAGAGTACCACCTGAGCAACTAGAGCTCGAGTGGCAAGGCAAGCTACGAACGCAAACCTCCCACTATCAACAGCAATTTGGAACCCCACCTGCCTAGACACTGCAAGGGATCCTTCTGCTTACAAACGGGATTAGATGCATCAACAGTATGCCAGAGAAATGCATATCTATCTGACCAACACATGCCTATCCGTGCAGTGTAGTAAGTACCCGTCGCATGTATATCGGGTCATCAGACAGCCAGGCATTGACTCGTTGACTGACCCGTACCATGCGTCACACTTGGAAGAGGAATCTGAGGTCTTCTGTTGTGAGGCGGGAGCGGTTCATTGCCGTGGCTGACTCGCCATATGCACTCTCGATCATCGTGCGCTTGCGCTCCTGTTCGTGTGGCAGTGGGGTTTCCAGGCATGTGGGATACGGGAAGGACGCGTTTACACGAGCCAAAGAGTGATTGTGAAGATGCATGTGACACCAGCAGTTGAGAAACAGCACTGCCAGCCACCATCATTACCACACGGATCCGCGATACGAGACGCGCACAAAGAGCACAGCTCATGGATGACCCGTCGCTCGGTTCACAAGCCACATACCTTGTCCCGCCCTGCCTCACATCTTGTCGTGCCATCACCACCACCTCACAGCAAACCTGCACCTCCACTATGCGATCCCCAGTGGTGGCGACGGCCGCAGTGAACAGAACCACCAGCATGGAGCAAGCTTCACCACACACCTTGTCCCACCTCTCCCACCCATCTGCACTTCCAAGATCCATCCTGACCCACCTGCAGCATTCACCCTGAACCCCTGACCCTGAACCCCTGACCTTGACCCACCTGCAGCATTCACCCTGAACCCCTGACCCTGAACCCCTGACCTTGACCCACCTGCAGCATTCACCCTGAACCCCTGACCCTGAACCCCTGACCTTGACCCACCTGCAGCATTCACCCTGAACCCCTGACCCTGAACCCCTGACCTTGACCCACCTGCAGCATTCACCCTGAACCCCTGACCCTGAACCCCTGACCTTGACCCACCTGCAGCATTCACCCTGAACCCCTGACCCTGAACCCCTGACCTTGACCCGCCTGCAGCATTCACCCTGAACCCCTGACCCTGAACCCCTGACCTTGACCCACCTGCAGCATTCACCCTGAACCCCTGACCCTGAACCCCTGACCTTGACCCACCTGCAGCATTCACCCTGAACCCCTGACCCTGAACCCCTGACCTTGACCCACCTGCAGCATTCACCCTGAACCCCTGACCCTGAACCCCTGACATTGACCCACCTGCAGCATTCACCCTGAACCCCTGACCCTGAACCCCTGACCTTGACCCACCTGCAGCATTCACCCTGAACCCCTGACCCTGAACCCCTGACCTTGACCCACCTGCAGCTCCAGGATGCGGTCCTCGATCGTATCAGCCACGGTGAACCGAGCCACGCGTACGGGGCGGGTCTGGCCGATGACTCATCCCAACCAGCCCCCGTACCCACCTGCAGCTCCAGGATCCAATCCCCAAGACCCTCTCCCACCCACCTGCAGCTCCAGGATCCAATCCCCAAGACCCTCTCCCACCCACCTGCAGCTCCAGGATCCAATCCCCAAGACCCTCTCCCACCCACCTGCAGCTCCAGGATCCAATCCCCAAGACCCTCTCCCACCCACCTGCAGCTCCAGGATCCAATCCCCAAGACCCTCTCCCACCCACCTGCAGCTCCAGGATCCAATCCCCAAGACCCTCTCCCACCCACCTGCAGCTCCAGGATCCAATCCCCAAGACCCTCTCCCACCCACCTGCAGCTCCAGGATCCAATCCCCAAGACCCTCTCCCACCCACCTGCAGCTCCAGGATCCAATCCCCAAGACCCTCTCCCACCCACCTGCAGCTCCAGGATCCAATCCCCAAGACCCTCTCCCACCCACCTGCAGCTCCAGGATCCAATCCCCAAGACCCTCTCCCACCCACCTGCAGCTCCAGGATCCAATCCCCAAGACCCTCTCCCACCCACCTGCAGCTCCAGGATCCAATCCCCAAGACCCTCTCCCACCCACCTGCAGCTCCAGGATCCAATCCCCAAGACCCTCTCCCACCCACCTGCAGCTCCAGGATCCAATCCCCAAGACCCTCTCCCACCCACCTGCAGCTCCAGGATCCAATCCCCAAGACCCTCTCCCACCCACCTGCAGCTCCAGGATCCAATCCCCAAGACCCTCTCCCACCCACCTGCAGCTCCAGGATCCAATCCCCAAGACCCTCTCCCACCCACCTGCAGCTCCAGGATCCAATCCCCAAGACCCTCTCCCACCCACCTGCAGCTCCAGGATCCAATCCCCAAGACCCTCTCCCACCCACCTGCAGCTCCAGGATCCAATCCCCAAGACCCTCTCCCACCCACCTGCAGCTCCAGGATTCGATCCTCAATGGTATCCGCCACGGTGAACCTAGCCACGCGCACGGGCGAGCCTGGCTGAAGACTTATGACCCATCCCAACCAACCCCCTGACCCACCTGCAGCTCCAATATCCGGTCCTCAATGGTGTCAGCCACGGTGAAGCGAGCGACACGCACGGGGCGAGTCTGGCCGATGCGGTGGGCGCGGTCGATGGCCTGATCCTCCACTGCGGGGTTCCACCAGAGGTCCATGAGGATCACGTGGTTCGCCGCTATCAGGTTGAGCCCCACGCTGGCTGCTTTCAGGGAGACCAGGATCACTGTGATCTGATGGGGGGGGGAGAGAAGGGGAGGGGCACGAGGAGGATCACTGCGATGTGACGGGGTGCAGGGACGGGGTTGCTGAGCTGCACAAGACAAGTGCTAAGGCGTGTCATGGAGCACGGTCGATGGTCTGGTGCTCCACCGCGGGGTTCCACCAGAGGTCCATGGGGATAACGTGGTTCGCCGCGATGGAAAGGAGCCCCAGGCTGGCTGCTTTCAGCCTGAAAGATCAGAAAGACGCGTCCTGCGTCCTGGACGCATGCGTCCAGACGCAGGACGCTGAACCTGGACCTGTAAGACGCACCAAAAGACGCAAGCCCGGGCAGGGCAAAAAAAACCCTCGGGCAGGCCAAAAAAAAATGTATAGGGCTTGGGAGAGGGGGGGGGGGGGTGTCATACCACAAAATTTTCCCCAACCACAAAATTTTCCCCCAAAATATGAGATTAAGGTGAGTCACGTGTCACACATTTCACAAGGTCTCACACACATTACGTTTAATCCAACCACTTACGACCATGCATACTACTAAACTACCACTGCACTGCATCTAGTCAACCATCACGCATCCCCATCATCCTCGCTCTCCTTCTCCTCCTCTTCGTCCATCGCTTCCTGGTCCTTGTACTCGTCGACTGCCGGGTCGTCCTCGTCCACCTCCCTCTCCCCGTCCTCCTCCAACTTGTATCCCTTGGGGAGGGGAGGGGTGGGAATGTTACCCTCCACCACCCCCGCCCTCCTCACTTCCCCACTTGGCCCTGCTCCACCAGCTGCGCCCTGGTGGTGGCCGTGCACAACCGGCCAGTTGTGCGCCACGAACACCAGGTCGCGCACCTTCTCCGACCCAAGCCTGTTCTTGCGCGCCGTGTGCACCCCATCCCACACAGACCATCCCCGCTCGCATGGAGAGGCGGAAACGGCCTGTGACACCGCCCGGCGCGCAAGGCCTGCCAGTTCAGGGTACTCCCAGCCATTCACCTTCCACCACGCCGCCATGTCCCCCTTCCCCTCCTTCAGCTGCGCACGGCCCGCTACCGCCTCCTCCGACCCAAACCCCCCCCTGCCCTCAATGTACGCCAGCATCCCCTCCTGCAGCGCCAACATCGTTCCCTCCCGCTCGCCGTCCTTCTTCCAATACTTGTCGACGAAGGCCCTCGAGCGTTGCAGCCACGCCTTCATCACCCTGGTGCACTCTCTGTCCTTAAGGTATATCCCCTCCTCCTGGTTGACCGGGTTAAGAATCCGGCCTACCACGTGAAGAGGGCAGGCCAAACTCTCATCCCATCGCCTCCTCAAATGCTCCAGCAAATCCTCCTTATCCGACTCCTTAAGCTTACAATCCGCCCTCTCCAACAACTCCGTCAGGTCCACCGTCAGCTGCAGCATCATGTCGTACAATGCCCCCATCATCCCCTTCGCTGGCCCATCCGTCTTCCTCATCAACTTGTACGGCAGCTCCATCACCATGACGAAGGTGTCCACCTTGCCCCACCACTCCACATCCATCACCGCCTTCTCAAAAGTAGTTCCAGTCTGCTGCTTCCTCCCCTTCTCGGCCCAGTCCGTGTGCATCACCATGTTCACCAGGTGCTGGCGAATCTCCTTAAGGCGTGAAACCGCAATGTACTGCGTCCCAAAGCGTGTGCCCGCCGGTCGCAGCGGCTGCAGCGACTTCTTCTCGCCGTGCAGCTAGGGACACCGGAGGAAGGCACGCGTCCACGTGTGGCTGCGCAGGAACGCGATCATGTCGGTGGCAACTGACACGACCTCCTACGCCCAATCCATGCCGCCGAAGTCCTCCAACAGCAGGTCGAGCACGTGAGTGGCGCAGGGGACGAACTCCAAGTGCGGGTACTTCTTCTGCAGCAGCTTGCCGGCGGACACGTAGTTGCTGCCGCCGTCCGTGCAAATCGCGACGACGTGCTCCGGTCCAAGCTTCTCGATCAGCGGCTGCAGGACGCTCACGATGAACGCCCCAGTCTTTGTCTCCGCCTTACAGTCGAACGCCTCCTGGAAAACCGCTCCACTGGCGTTGATGAAGACGACGTTCATCTGCGCGCGCCCGCTCTTGTCCTTCATCATATCGCTGGCGATCGTCACGCCGGTCTCTTTCCACGACTTCGTAATGGGCGACAAACCCTTCTCAATCTGCTGCTTGCACGCCAGCAACCCGGCGCCTCCAACGTAGCCCACCTTGGGCGGAACGTAGCCGCCACCGGCGGCGCTAACGGCGCGCATCATGTTGAGGAAGAGGGGGTGCTCGCAAATGACCTCCGCCGAGCGCGTCCCCGCGATGAAGAGGCAAATCGCATCGTCTGCCGCACGCTTCGCCGACATCCCCCCCTCGCCATACCAATCCTTCATCCGCCCCTTCTTTGCCTTCGGACCCGCTCCGCCTTGGCCGCCCACTGCCGTGAGCGCCTCCTCCAAAGCCCTCTCCTTATCCTTACGCGCCGTCTTCTTCGTTTCCTTCGAGTTGCGAATGGCGTCGGAAACGCGCTTAGGAACATCCGCGCACACAACTCCACCATCGCGCCGCACGTTCGCGTCATCCCAAACGGCGAGATGCTGAGTGCATCGGCTACTACTAAGAGCGAACGTTTTTCCGCACCAAAGGCACTCGCACTGCTTCCCCTTCTTGGCGGGATTATCGAACGTCCAAAAATGCCTATAAATATGGTGATCGGGTTGTTGCGGTTTTTTCTCCACCCCGTCCTTAGTGTAACGCTTGGGGGGAGAGTCTACGGCGGCATCATCAACACTCTTAGACGCGGTGGAAGAAGAAGGAATGCTCGAGGAAGCCATAGCGGAGTTTAGGTGGTAAGCTAAGCTAAGACCTAAAACCTCTATGGGTTTACGAAAGAGAATTGGTGAGGGGAAAATGAGAAGCCACAAAAGGTTGCCATGCTAAATGTGCTTGGTGGTGGTGGGCTACAAAGGTTGGGATTCGTAGATGCTAAGTGGTTGAGAGGTTTGAGTGAAATTCAATTTTGGTTGAGTTGTTAGGGAATGTTAAGGGGGCTGGTTTTGAATGGCGAATTGGGCTTAGGGTGGGGAAATTTCGCGATTTCGACATTCGCGTCGAAATCGCGAATGCCAAAATCGCGATCCGGAAATTTTATTTTATTTTTCGGGCAGCCCGAAAAAAAAAATCGACGAGCGTCCTGCGTCTGGACGCGCGTCCTGCGTCCTATCTGCGTCTTTCCGAACTAAGCTTTCAGGGAGACCAGGATCACCGTGATCTGATCGGGGGAAGGGGAAGGGTCAGATGGGGCAGGCAGATAAGATGGACAACAGAGGTAATGAGACAGCTCTAAAGTGCCGCTCCAGTAGGCAGCCGTGGAGGCGTCTCCTATCTGTACTCCTCTCCTGCCTTGTTCCTTCGTTCATCCTGCAAAGCACTCCTAAGTTTTTCTATGGTCCTGTTGGCGTGTCGGCTTCTCAAGAACAGTCTCAACAAACCAATCCGTATGCAAATATGTTTCATCCCGCGACAACCCAGCATCTGCCAACCTTGGGATCATCACCAACCTTGGGAGCATCGCCAACCTTGGGAGCATCGCCAACCTTGGGAGCATCACCAACCTTGGGAGCATCGCCAACCTTGGGAGCATCGCCAACCTTGGGAGCATCACCAACCTTGGGAGCATCGCCAACCTTGGGAGCATCGCCAACCTTGGGAGCATCACCAACCTTGGGAGCATCGCCAACCTTGGGAGCATCGCCAACCTTGGGAGCATCGCCAACCTTGGGAGCATCACCACCCTTGGGAGCATCACCAACTTTGGAAACATGTAGAAATCAATTTGGAACAATACTGAACGTACCTTGAAATCATGCTCAACTTACCTTGGAATTAAGCTGAAATTAACTTGGGATCTTGCTGAACTTGGAATACTGTTGGCGACAAAATCACAACAAGCCAACCTTGGGATCACACCAGCCTTGGGTTTACCAACCCTTGGGATTACCACTGGCCTATCTTGGGATCACACCAGCCTTGGGTTTACCAACCCTTGGGATTACCACTGGCCTATCTTGGGATTACACCAGCCTTGAGATTACCACCTAATATTCTCGGAATAAGACCGACCTGGGGATCAGTGGTGAAAGCAGCGATGGCCCTGTCTCGAGCGGCCACAGGCATGGTGCCATCGAGGCACACATGGCGGATGGCAGCAGCAGCCAGGTGCAGCGACCTTGGGAATACCATCTACCAGCCTTGGGAATGCACGGACCTGCGGATCGGAGGTGAAATCAGCGATGGCCCTGTCTCGAGCGGCCACAGACATGGTGCCGTCGAGGCGCACGTGGGGGATGCCAGCAGCAGCCAGGTGGAGCTCGAGCAGGTCCAACATGCGCGTCCACTGCGAGAACACTATCGCCTTCTCCCTCACCATTACGGGAGTGGCACTCACTATTGCCTTTCCGCTCTCCTCCGAGGGAGTGTTTACTAGTGCTAGATCTCTCCCCACCTCCTCCCGTTCACTGACTAATGCGTTCTCCTGTGCCACAGGCACCAGCGCCAGCTCACGCTGTTCTGTGCTTGCCCTCGCTTGCCCCTCTGCCGGCCTGCCTGCTGTGCTTCCCACGGGAGTAGCCAACACAGGGGCAGGTGGAGGAGGAGCGGGGCGGGGGAGGTGGGCGGCTGCAGGGGGTACGAGCGGAGGGAGGTGAGCAGATGGCATAGGAGAGGCAACGGACGGATGGGGCGCATAGGGCGCAGCATATTGAAGGAGAGCAGGGGACGCATGGGCAGCAGTGGGAGCGGGTGGTGCAGGGGCAGCAGAGAGAGGGCGAGGGACAGGGGCAGCAATGGGTGCAAGGGGTGCAGGGGCGGCAGAGGGTGCATGGGGTGCATGGGGTGCATGGGGTTCAGGGGCGGCAGGGGCGGCAGGGGCGGCAGGGGATACTGAAGGCGGCAGTGCCACAACATGCCGCAGGGCAGATGCTAGCGCCGCTGCTGAGATCAAGAATCTAAGCGGACTGCCACACGCCGCTCTTGCTCCACCTCCATTCCCACTACCACCTTCCACTGAACCTTCCTGGCAGCCCTTAGCCACCCCAGCTGCGTGCCGAGTCCCTCCCTCTCCCGCCTGCCCAATCTGGCCCGCCTGCCCTGCTTGTTCCATCAGTCCAAACTGCCTGGCTGTGTTTTCCTCCCCCGCCCCCCACCCCCACCTCCTCCCCCACTCCCTCCTGGGTCTCCTGCTTCTCCCCCTTCACTACCCCCGCAGCCCCTGCAGTCCCCACCAGAGCAGCTCTAGCTCCGCCACCCCCTTCCTCTTCACCTTTGACTGAGGCGCGACCTGCTGCGGCAGGTGTAGACTCAGGTGCAGCAGATGCTGAAGCATTTGCAGGCTTAACATCAGGTATGTCACGTAATGAATCAGGTGCAATGGGTTTTACATCTGGCATGTCAGGTGTAGACTCAGGTGCAGCAGATGCTGAAGCAGATGCTGCAGGTTTTACATCAGGCACGTCAGGTATTGAATCAGGTTTTAGGTCAGGTGCGTCAGGAAGTGGACCAGGTGGCGGTAGGCCAGGTGCCCACCCACCTGATGGACAGAACATTCCTGCATTCCCATACCCACCATTCTCAACCGCTTCTGCTTTCACTGAGCCTCCTGTCACATGCGCACGTGGTAGGTCAGGTGCCCACCCACCTGGTGCCCCTTCTCCAGGTGCCCCTTCCCCAGGTGCCCCCTCCCCAGGTGCCCCTTCCCCAGGTGCCCCCTCCACAGGTGCCCCTTCCCCAAATGCCCCTTCCACAAATGCCCCTACCCCAGGTGCCCCTTCCCCCGGTGCCCCACCTGCCCCTGCCGGCCCCACATCTCCCTCCTCCAGCACAGCGGTCGCAGCAATCTCCGCCCAGAGCCCCGCCATCCACTGCGCCTCCTCTGCCTCTTGCTTCTGCGCCTGCTGCTGCTGCTCCTGCGGATCCCGTTGCTGCTGCTGCAACTGGCCGTTTTTCTCCCCTCCTTGCGGAATCAGCCCACAATTACCGCCGCCATCAGACGCTTCCTCCTTCACTCCTCCCGTGCCCGCACTCCCACCTGCAACCCCACCTGCACCCCCTCCTGCACTACCACCTGCGATACCACCTGCACTCACACCTGCACCAGCACCTGAACTGCCTGCATCCCCTGCACCCGCATTATGCCTTGCTGCAAAGTCTCCCGAAACCCCTCCCACTGCCACACCTCTCACCCCTCCTTGCTCCTCCTCCTTCACCATTCCGCCAGGTGCCATGGAGGGAGGGGTGGAGGATGGGGGGATGGAGGATGGGGGGATGGAGGAGGGAGGGGTGGAGGAGGAAGGGGTAGAGGAGAGAGGAGCGGAGGGAGGAGTGGAAACGAAAGAACTCGAGGTGGGAGGGTTACTCACGGGAACAGGGCCAGAGATAATGCGTGCACTGGGAAATTGCATGGAGGGTTGCGATGGAGGGAGGAAGGAGGGACGGGAGGAGGGGAGAGAAGTGGGAACGGGGGAGGGAAAGGGGGCGGGAACGGAGGAAGGAAGGGAGAGGGGAAGAGAAGAGGTGGGAAGGGTAGCAGCAGCAGGAGGAGCAGCAGAGGAAGGAGGAGGAGCAGGGGGCATGAGAGGGAGGGCAGCAGCAGCAGCAGCGCCAGCAGAAGGAGGAGGAGCAGCGGGCATGAGAGGGAGGGCGAGGAGGTAGTTGAGAACAGCACGAGCCTTGGTGGACATGCGAGAGGGAGAGAAGAAGAGCGGATCCCTCTCCTCCTCCGCCTGCTGCTGCCCTCCCCTCCCTTCTGCCAGTGAAGTTGTTGCTAACGTGCCTGCCGCTGCTCCCATCCCCATCCCACCCCCTGCTCCACCCATCACCACCCCTCCCGCACCCATCCCACCACTCCCTACACCTTCCAGCTCCGAAAACAAGCAGAGCGACGCAGGAGAGAAGGCTTTGCCGCAGCAAGGGCAGAGAGGGGTATCAGACTGAGCGAGATGCTGCAGAGCACATTGCTCACAGAAGGTGTGCAGGCACACAGACAGCACCGGCACCTCCGCTGCATCCCCACACAGCTCACACACCGCCTCTCCCCCCACCTGCGCCACCTGCCGCACTAACTCGGCGCGTTTACCCGCTGATAGCCTCCCCACTGACCCGGCAAACACACTCCGCCGCCCACCCGCCCCACCACTCCCCCCTCCACTCCCCCCACCACTCCCCCCACCACTCCCCCCACCGCTCCCCCCTCCTCCTGCTCCAACCCCGCTTCGCCCTCGCGCTGCTCCTCCTCCTGCTCCTCCTCCTCCTCCTCCTGCTCCATTGCCCCGGGCGATGGGCGCGCCCTTGGCGAGGGCGGGGTGGTTGCAGGCCTGGCGCAGGCGCAGCAGCATGGTGAGGATGTGCATGTAGTTGTTCTGTACTGTGCCTGCTGCCGCGTAGTCCTGGTGGGATGAGAAGGGGGAAGAGGGGAGGAAGGAAAGGAGGGAGGGGATGAGGGCAGGCGCAGCAGCATGGTGAGAATGTGCATGTAGTTGCTCTGTACTGTGCCTGCTGCCGCGTAGTCCTGGTGGGGGCAAGGAGAGATAGAGGGGAGAGGGGAGAAAGGAGTGAGATATAGTAGTGGGGATGGGGGGAGGGAAGGCGCAGCAGCATGGTGAGGATGTGCATGTAGTTGTTCTGCACCGTGCCTGCTGCCGCATAGTCCTGGTGGCGGCAAGGAGAGATAGAGGGGAGAGGAGAGGGAGGAAGGTGGGAGAAGCAGCGGCATCGTGAGAATGTGCATGTAGTTGTTCTGTACTGTGCCTGCTGCCGCGTAGTCCTGGTGGGATGAGAAGGGGGGAGAGGGGAGGAGGAGTGAGATATAGTAGTGGGGATGGGGGGAGGGAAGGCGCAGCAGAATGGTGAGGATGTGCATGTAGTTGTTGTGTACCGTGCCTGCCTGCTGCCGCGTAGTCCTGGTGGCGGCAAGGGGATGGCGGATGGGGTGGAAGAGAAGGGCATGAAGCAGCGTGGGGAGGAGGATGCACATGTATTCCTTCCTAGTGCGTTTTTTGAGACGTCTCAAAATCAGGATCTGTTACAGCCTCGGGGATGCAGAGGCCGAGTCACTAACATGGGACTAACAGAGTCACTAACATGGGACTAACAGAGTCACTAACATGGGACTAACAGAGTCACTAACATGACACACTATGTGACATTGTAACAAGGTGTCAAGGTGTTTGTTGAGTTAACGTGGCTTGACTCACGTGGAATTGGCGCTTGGAGGAGTCCGCGAGAGGTACAAGGCCCTCTCCTTTGGTGTGAACTCTGTAGAGTGCGTGTAAAGTTGCTCTTTGGAGCAGACGCGGCTTCACTCACGTGGAACTGGCGCTTGGAGGAGGCCTCGAGCGAGAGGTACAAGGCCCTCTCCTCTGGTGTGAACTCTGTAGAGCACGTGTGAGTGTACCCTTAAGAGCAGACGCGGCTTCACTCACGTGGAACTGGCGCTTGGAGGAGGCCTCGAGAGAGAGGTACAAGGCCCTCTCCTCTGGGGTGAACTCCGCTCGCTGCAGCGCCACTATGCGCGGGGGCAGGTCCACTATGGGCGCTCCCTTGATGCGCGTGGCTGGATGGTGGGGAGGGAGAGACACGGAGAGAGGGCGAAGGGGATGGGGATCGCTGCAGCGCCACTATGCGCGGAGGGAGGTTCACTATGGGCGCTCCCTTGATGCGCGTGGCTGGTGGGGGGGACAGGGGGAAGGAGAGGGCGGAGGGCAGAGGGAGGGGAAGAAGGGGATGACGGGGATCGCTGCAGCGCCACTATGTGCGGTGGCAGGTCCACTATGGGATGGGCGCTCCCTTGATGCGCGTGGCTGGTGAGGTGGGGGGGAGGCAGCAGAGAGCGGAGAGCAGTAAGAGGGAGAGAAACAGGAGGAAAGAGAGAATGGGATGGGGGTCATTGCAGTGCCACTGCAAAGGCAAGTGTGCTATAAAAATAACTATACAATAAAACCCAGTCTAACTTTCGGAAAGTCTCAATCTTGCAAAGCTCAAAAGTGTGCACACTCATGTGAGAACATAGCAAGGACTCACCCTTGGTGCGGAGAGCATCACAGCCAGCAGCAGCACAGCCAGCAGCTTCTTAAAGGCCTGAGCGGGGTTCCGTACGATGGGGTCCTTGATTGACGGTACCGCTGAAGGATACACACTCATGTGATGCTGCAGCACACAAACAACAACAAACCAACCAGCACTCACCCTTGGTGCGGCGCAGCATGACAGCCAGCAGCACCGCCTGCAACCGCTTAAAGCCCTGGGAGGGGTTGCGCGTGATGGGGTCCTTGATGGTGGTGCGGAAGGTTGCATACTCGTCGTACGGGGAGAAGCGCAGGAAGCGCAGGTAGGAGTACACATCGTCCACCGCGTTCTGCATGGGCGTGCCCGACAGGCACCACCTCTTTTTCGCCCTCAATGCCCAGCACGCCCTTGCCACCTGGGGGAGGGGGGAAGAAAGGGGTTGAATTGAAGGGGAAGCGCAGGTAGGAGTACACGTCGTCCACTGCGTTCTGCATGGGCGTGCCCGACAGGCACCACCGCTTCTTGGCCCTCAGAGCCCAACACGCCCTTGCTACCTGGGAGAGGGTGGAAGAACGGGTTGAAGGGGAAGCGCAGGTAGGTAGGAATACACATCGTCTACTGCGTTCTGCATGGGCGTTCCGGAGAGGCACCACCGCTTCTTGGCCCTTAGAGCCCAACACGCCCTTGCCACCTGGGGGACGCCGGGAGAAAGGGGTGAATTGGAAGCGCAGGAAGCGCAGGTAGGAATACACATCGTCCACCGCGTTCTGCATGGGCGTGCCTGACAGGCACCACCGCTTCTTGGCCCTCAGAGCCCAGCATGCTCTCGCTACCTGGAGGAGGAGGGGGGTGAGGGGGAGGAAGGGGAAGCGCAGGAAGCGCAGGTAGGAGTACACATCGTCCACTGCATTCTGCATGGGAGTGCCTGAGAGACACCACCGCTTCTTGGCCCTTAAAGCCCAACATGCTCTCGCCACCTGGAGGTGAGGACAGGGTAGGGAAGGATGACAGGAAGGAAGGAGGGAGAGGAAGGGAAAGGAGAAGCAGGGAGGACGAGGGAGGATGGAGGGAAGAGAGGGTTTTGCTAGTCCTGAGGTATGCAAGGGTATGAGTTTTGAGACGTCTCGGAGCAACGATATGTATCTGTGCACACTGCACACCCAGCAGAGGGGGCACTTCCAGAAACTGTCAAAAATCAATCAACGCTCCAGATTTAAAGGAGCGAGTGATCGACACATGGCCGCAGATACAGAAGCCCAGGCAGGCAGGCAGGCAGGCAGCGTGTGAGTGTGTGTGTCAAGGCATACATAAGACGGCTCCTGAATTGTTCTGAGACGTCTCAAAACTCGATTATTATCGCGCGGATTTTTAAGACGTCTCAAGGCCCAGGCAGGCAGGCGGGCAGCGTGTGAGTGTGTGTGTCAAGGCGTACTACATAAGCCGGCTTCTGAGTTGTTCTGTCTTCTGCGTGTTTCTGTCTTGAGACATGGTGACACTGATCCGGCTCACCTGTGTGTTGCGGTTCTTGATGGCCTGTGCCTCGTCCAGCACCACTCAACCTTAGAGTCGACTCAATAAATCGTCCTGCGTTGCTCTGTTGACCGTATTCACATCACCCACCCACCCACCTGAGTGTTGCGGTTCTTGATGGCCTGTGCCTCGTCCAGCACCACTCAACCTTAAGAGTCGACTCAATAAATCGTCCTGCGTTGCTCTGTTGACCGTATTCACATCACCCACCCACCCACCTGAGTGTTGCGGTTCTTGATGGCCTGTGCCTCGTCCAGCACCACTCAACCTTAGAGTCGACTCAATAAATCGTCCTGCGTTGCTCTGTTGACCGTATTCACATCACCCACCCACCCACCTGAGTGTTGCGGTTCTTGATGGCCTGTGCCTCGTCCAGCACCACTCGCAGCCACGCCACCCCCGCAAGCGGACCCCCCCCACTCCCCCCACTCCCACCACTCCCCCCCTCACCACCACCAGCCTTCCTCTTCCCCCCCGCCCCGCCCCCACCACCCCCACCAATCCCCATCACCTCCTCCCACGAAGGCTCCTTCCCTTTGCCTTTCCCCCCCTCGCCGCCATCACCCCCTCGCCCTCCGCCCACATCCATAGCAGCGATGGCATAGGTGGTGAGCACCACGTCGTACGATGCCACCTCCGCTGCACTCCTCGTGCGCCCCGGCCCGTGATACACCAGCACTGATAACCCTCTTCCCCCGCCCCCTCCCCCTCCTATTCCTCCTATTCCTGTGCTTCCTCCTCCTCTCCTCCCTCCTCCTTCCCCAGTTCCACTAGCCAACCTCTCGTCTCCCCCACCGCCAGCAGCGCCAGCAGCGCCAGAAGCAGCAGCAGCAGCAGTGCCTGCTGCTTCCCCAAGGTCGCCCACTCGCTCTCGAATCTCCCGCTCCCACTGCCGCAGGATGCTCGTGGGGCACACCACCAGCGTGCCGCCACTCACGCGCTTGCCTCTGCCGCCACCTGCGCTGCCTGCTGCTGACGTGGCAGCTGCTGACGCGGCAGCTGCTGAGCTGGCAGCTGCTGAGGTGGCGGCTGCCGAAACGCCAGGTCGCATTGCTGCGCCTGCCACTGGCAGCACTGGAGCTGCTAGACGTTGTTTCTTCCCGCCCCGTCTCCCCCGCCCCGTCTCCCCCTCCTCGTCTTCCTCCAAATCAACCACTTCCATCTTGCTGCTGCCCCCCATTCCCATTCCTCCTCCTCCTCTTCCTCCTCCTGTTACAGGCACCCCACCAGCAGCACCAGCAGTAGCAGCACCACCACCACCACTTGTACCAGCGCCAGATGCACCAGCACCAGAAGGACCGGCACCAGAAGGACCGGCATCACCCGTACCCGCACCACCCGTCAACAGCAGCATCTGCCCCTCCTCCTTAACAACCCCCTTCCCCTTCTCCCTCTCCCGTCTCTCCCTCTCCCTGCCCTCCCGCACGCCCAGCACAATCAGCGCAATCGTGGTGAGAGTCTTCCCCAGCCCTTGATCATCCGCCAGTATGCCCCCAGCAGGGATAGACGCCTCTCTGCGCCTCATCCACGCCACTGCCATGCGCTGGTGCGTCAGCAGCGGCACTCTTAAAGCCCCTGCCGGCATTTCCGCCTCCTCTGCTGTTCCCGCGAGGGATAGGCCTTCCAGGATCTGCCGCATTGCGGTTTGCTGGTCTGGAGGGGGGTTGGAAGGGGTTGGAGAGGGTGCTTGGGGATACATGTGCGGGTGGAGGTGGTGATGGTGGTGGTGGTGCTGGTGGCTGTGGTGGTGGGTGGGATGCGGATGGGTGTGACTCGGTGGGACGTGGTTGTGTGCGGTTCCGGCATCCACTCGTATCCTCTTGGCAGCTTGCTCTCCTTCCCTGCCTGTGTCTGTGAGCCCAACACCACCACCACCACCACTGCTGCCCGTGCCTCCTCGAATGCTTGCCGGCAGCGGCCTAAACTGCGGCAACCCGACTGATGGTGAGCTATGCCTTGTAATCAACGGAGCTAAATCAGGTTCTATGTGTAATGTTGTGTGTGGGTCTATGCTATAGGCCGTGCCTGCTGTGCGTGCTGCGTGTGCTTCGTGTGCTGTGACTGCTGTGACTGCCGTATGTGGCATGTGTGCTTGCCGTGCCACATGCTGACTCGGCTCAGGCTGTGGTGGTAAGCGTGGTAACCGGTCCACCATCCCCTCGTCCCGCATGCTCCTGAAGTGTCTCAGAGCGTCTGCCGCACTCCTCCTCCTCGCCTCCACAAACTCTCGCCTCTCCTCCTCCCTATCCACCCCTCTCCCTCCCATCCCAACCCCAAACCACTGCCGCAGATTCCCAACCGCCCTTTCCCTCCCTCTCCTCCTCCCACTCCCACCACCTCCCCCCTCTCCCCCCTCTCCGTCCTCGTCCTCCTCCTCATCACCCCCTTGGTCTCGGAGCAGCACTCGCTCTCCGAACCGTTCTCTCACCTCCTGCTCCAGCTGCACCTGCTGCCTCGCCTCCTGCTGCTGCCGCTGCCACTGCAAAACCTCTTGCTGCTGCTGCTGCTGGTTACCCCGCAGCTGATTACGCTGCTGCTGTCCAACGCTCGCCCGGTCTCTGCTTCTCTCACCTTCGTCCCTCCGATCCCTCTGCCTCTGCGGCGACATAACAGCCTTCAGCTGCCCCAGCTGCTCCCACTGCTGCCTCACCTCATCACCCACCCCATCCTCATCATCATCGCTCGCCATACTGATCACACTCACCACACTACTCTCACTCCCCTCACTCCCCTCTCTCCTCTCTCTGCCCTCCGCAGCAACCCCTTCAGCCACACCCCTCCCGTCCCTGCCCTCCCTCCTCCCATCACCAGCGCCTATTCCCAATCCTGTACCGATCCCCACGCCACTTCCCAATCCCCGTGCCATGTTCCCAGCCATGCCGCCCACAGTGCCGCCCACCGTGCCGCCCACCGGGCCGCCCACTACGCCACCCGGCATGCCTCCCAATGTGCTGCCGCCCGGCACGCCGCCCGGCACGCCGCCCGGCACGCCGCCCAGAACGCCGCCCGGCGTGCCGCCCCCCATGGAGCGCATCATCTGCCTCTGCGCGTTCCTGAGCCTCGCCTGCAGCATGGCTTCCTGCACCTCCCGCCCACTCAACTCCACCACGTCCTCATCCTCGTTACTGCGCACCCCATTACTAGCACCAGCAGCAGCCCTCCTGCTGACGCTACTTTGACCCCTCTCGGTGTTGTTCCACATGCTGTTCCCGCTGCTTCTGCCGCTGCCCAACTGCCCCTGCTGCTGCTTCTCCTGCAACTTCGGCTGCTGCTTCTGCTGCTGCTGCTGCTGCAACAGGAACTGCTGTAAATGCTGGTCTGCGTACTGGTTGTCACTGCCATCACGATCACTATCATCATCACTATCAACCTCATCATCGCTCAACCACACCACCTCCATCCCCTCCTCTTCTTGCGCTTCCGCACTTGCACTCTTGCCTGCCGAGCTTGCCCCACCAGCACCTGCTGTTGCCTTTTGAGACGACTTCGAAGGACCATCAGCCCCTACTGCTGCACCTCCAGCACCAGTGGCGGCTGTGCTGGCGGCGGCGGCAGGGGATGCGTTGGCGGCAGCAGCAGAAGAACGAGGGCCCGAGGGAGCAGCAGTGGCAACATCAGCGTGAACACCAACAGCAGCATCGGCATCAGAGGCAGCATGGGCAGCAGCAGGTGCGGAAGCATCAGAAGCAGCAGCAACAGCACCATCAGCAGCAGCAGCATCAGCAGCAGCAACAGCAGCAAAAGCAGCTGCAGCAGCAGCAGAAGCAGCAGCAGCGGCGGCGGCGGCGGCGGCGGCAGCGGCGGCGGCAGAAGCAGCGGCGGCGGAAGCAGGTGTTCCCGCACCTATTGAGTGCGCCAACTGAGCCTCCTTATCGCCATCCGTACCCGGGCAACCATCCAAGTCCATGCCTCCATCCATCGCCATGCCTCCATCCATCGCCATGCCTCCATCCACCCCCCATGCTGTACCGCTCTCACCATGATCCGAGCCCACACCATTCCCATGTAAGTGTAGCGCATCATCACCTCCCTCTTCCTCACTCTCACTCTCATTCTCACTCTCACTCACACTCTCACTCACACTCTCACCCTCATTCTCATTCTCACTCTCACTCACACTCTCACTCTCATTCTCACTTCCACTCTCATTCTCACTCTTACTCTCACACTCTCTTTCCATTCCCGCTTCCCCTGCAGCAGCACCAGCATCTACACCCATGGCGTCAGCATCGGTTAACCCAATATTAGCATCTTCCGGCAACCCTACATCAACACCGTCTGGTAACACCATATTACCACCATCTAAACCAGCAGCGCCGGGTAACCCTGTATTAACACCGTCTGGAAACCCTATGTCAACACCGTCGACTAACCCTGCATTAAAACCGTCGGGAAACGCCATATTAACAAAGTCGGGTAACCTCGTATTAACACCGTTGGGTAACCCTATATGAACAGCGTTTGGTAACCCTATATCACCACAGTGCGGTAACCCTTCATGAACATCCGTACCTCCTCTTCCACTGCTCTCCGTTTCACCCTCCTCCCTTCTCACGCCGCGGCAATCGCCACCGTTGATTTGACCCGCGATCTCACCATCGACGGTCGCGATGTCCTGGATATGGCCATCGGTGTCATCGTCAACCCTCTCCTGAATGCTCCTCTGCTTCGGATTGTCACCGAAAAAATCGCCGACATTACTCAGCCCAACATCCCTGTTATAAGGAAACCCGTTATTGGCACCTGCGTTTTCCTGGTTAACACACTCTTCTGCACCATCAATCCTACCAGTTCCCACGTTAAACTCCTTTACAGGTGGCCCATCGGGAACGACATCTAAACTCAGTGACGTGTCACGCGGGGACGCGGTGGTGCTGTGGTGCGCTGACGTGGATGGCATGGTCCTGCTAGAGCATGCGGTTCGTGCATGAGCTAAAAGGTGCAACAGCGACGCCCTGTGCTACGCAGTAACGACTAGTCCTTTGCCAGCCTGAATCGATGGCAGGGAATAGAGACTTCAACAAACCTATATGTTTTACCACAATTATATTGTATCGTGGACGCAACAAATGCGTGGTCCCATGGTGTAGTGGTCATCACGTTTGCTTTACACGCAAAAGGTCACGAGTTCGAAACTCGTTGGGGCCAGGGTTTTGCCCACGCCCTTCTCAGAGGGTCTCTCCCTTGCCCACCTACACAGATTTGCGCAGACCCTTGGAAGCAACGCCAACAAATACCTTTTCGATTTTTTCGCAGAGACCTTCGGAAATCGACCTTTCGTTCCCTTTAGTTGAGGGAAGATCATGGACGTTGTTTCAATGCACGACCCAGTACCGTCGGATCTCTTGACCAATGAGTCCAATCCGTTCGATCGGCTTCCGCAAGAGATCCTCGCCGTCATCTTGCGCCACGTAGCACCATCCGGCACGTCCTTTCAGCATGCCTTGGTGTTCAAGCGATGGCATCGCGCGGCGTGCCTCGCGCAGTCGTCAGTCCACGTGGCGAAATCTCGAGCCATCTCCTCCCCGCGCCTCGTCCTCGCGCTCTCCCGCTTTCCCCGCCTCACCCACCTCCATATCGATCGAGACGGAGTCGATTTCTTAGACGACGGGTTCCTGACGATTCTCGCTAAAGGTGCTTGTAACGGGTGTGACAGTAGCGAGGAGGAGCGCGAGCATGCGTCGTATAACGAGGGCGAGGCGAAGGACCCGGAGGAAGAGGAGGAGGAGAGTCACGAAGAGCGACTCGGAGCCATTGGCGCTGGCCAGAGATTAGAACTGGACGGTACGGCTAGCAGTAGGGCGGGCGGCACTGGTGATAGAGTGGGCGGCAATGATGATACGCCACACGACATCCCTTGTTCCAGTGGCAGCAGCTCGTCAGTGGAGAGAATTCAGAGAATGACCATCCCCGGCTACCGCGCAGCAGCACAACGTGCTATCGCATCCGCGCTCCAAACTCCGCATACCCAGCCGCACACCTCCCCTCTCCGCGCTCTCTTCCTCGCGGAGGACCCGCGCTCCCCCGCGCGCATCACAGCAGCAGGCCTGGACTCCCTCTTCCTCCACTGCCGCCTCTTACACTCCCTCGCCCTGCACTGCGGCCGTGCAATCACCGCGCTTTCCCCCTCTATAGTCACACTGCCTGCACTCACATCCCTAGATATTGCCATGCCCTGCCTGGGAAGTCTTCCAGAGGATTTCGGCTCAATATCCGCCTTGAGGGTGCTTCGGCTAGAAAGCCCCAGTCTTAGCTCTCTGCCCGACAGTCTCGGGCAGCTGAAGTTACTAGAAGAGCTCACTCTCCGGTGTTTGTCTGCCCGGAACCTGCCCGATTGGATTGGGCAGCTGAGCAGCCTCACCTCCGTGACCATCGAAAGCTGTTCTTTTCGGCACCTGCCCGAGTCTCTGGGCAGCCTTCGTTCCTTAACCTCGCTTCGCCTCTCGTCCCTTGATGTTGACTCCTTGCCAGAATCCATTGGCCAGCTTTCCTCCTTGAAACATTTCGTCTTGGAAAAAATGCCCGTGACAAGTCTGCCCGATTTTTTTGGGCACCTAGAAAACCTTTCCGTGCTCCAATTGAACGACTGTGATTCCCTACTCTCTTTGCCCAACTCCCTCTTCACCCTGCCTTCCCTTTCCACCCTTCTCATTGGCTGCTGGGCCCTCCCAACACTACCAGACAAAATCTCCCACCTGTCGGTTTTGGAACATTTGGAGTTGAACTCTTGTGAGGGCCTCACGTCTCTTCCAGAATCTCTTTCGGAGCTGCCCGCTCTAAAACACCTCGAAATCTCATCCTGCCCGTGCCTAAAGTCCCTACCAGCATCGCTTGGCAAGCTGAAGCATCTAACCACCCTGGAAATCCACAATTGTGACTCGCTCTCGCTCCTCCCCCCATCGCTTCCTCTCCTCCCGTCCCTCTCGCGCCTCGTGATTGTCGGGTGTTCCCATTTGAGAGAGCTTCCGGGGAACTTGGGCCAGCTGAGCAGTCTAAGGGTGTTGGAGTTGGGGCTGTGCAAGAGCTTACGGAGTTTGCCGGATTCGATAATGGAGATGAGCCAGTTGGAAAGAGTGGTGGTGCTTGGGTGCAGGAGGCTGGTAAGTGTGCCGGAAGGGATTGCAGAGATGCCGAGCATGCAAGAGGTGGTCTTTAGAGAATGTGATGCTCTTGTGTGATTGTATTGAGAGGGTTGGAGTGCTTCCTTTCGACATAGGCGAACTTAGGGCGGCTGCCGAGTCTAGGTGTGCCCGAGTTGGGGCTGTGCAAGAGCTTAAGGAGCCTGCCAGATTCTATAATGGATTTGGGTCAGTTGGAAAGAGTGGTGGTGCTTGGGTGCAGGAGACTGGAGAGTGTGCCTGAGGGGATTGCGGAGATGCCGAGCGTGCAAGAAGTCCTGTTCAGGGAGTGTGATGCTCTTGTGTGATGTGGTGGGGTTCTGTGATATACTCAGATTACCAGCTCGTTTGTGTAATGTCAAAACATATTGTTCTGCTTATTTCACTCTAGGTTGTGTAGGGTTCTTTCCTTAGAGGGTACAACAATCTCTCTCGATAGTCCTTGTACCCCCCCCTTACCTAATCGAACTCACTCATCTAGCTAGTAACTCTAACATGGTATTAAGAGCACAATGCTCCTTAGGACCGAAATTTTAAAAGGGCCCACCACTACTATTTCGACCTGCTGCCCGAGTCGCGCCCCTAAGAGAAACGCGAAATGCGAAAACGTGCCCTAGGCGAGACGGTTCCCTTTTCTGCCTAGACGCGATTTTCTGTTCCTAGTCACGTGCGACCCCCCTGACCGAGCCCTAGCTGCCCCGTGCGCCTCTCGCGCGGCCCGTCAGCCCCTACGCCCGGTCCCCCCCTCGTTCCTGCTGCTGCGCGCGCCACTCACGCTGCCCGCCAGCCCCTAGCACGCACCTGATGCGCGCTCCTCGTAGTGCCGCCCCGCACGCACCTGTTGCGCGCCCCTGGTTTGCACGCCCACAGCCCACGCGCGCCTACTGCTACTACGCGCTAGCCCGAGCTGTCACTGCTGCTGCTACTGACGCTACTGCTGCTACAGCTAGTGCTACTCACTGCTGCTGCTACTGAAGCTAGTGCTGCTACAGCTAGTGCTACTCACTGCTGCTGCTACTGAAGCTAGTGCTGCTACAGCTAGTGCTACTCACTGCTGCTGCTACTGAAGCTACTGCTGCTACAGCTAGCGCTACTCACTGCTGCTGCTACTGACGCTACTCCTGTTACAGCTAGCGCTACTCACTGCTGCTGCTACTGAAGCTAGTGCTGCTACAGCTAGTGCTACTGCTGCTGCTGCTACTACGGCACTTGCTACAGCTGCTACTGACTGAAGCTACGGCTGCTACAGCTAGTGCTACTGCTGCAGCTCCTACTACTGTACTTGGTACAGCTGGTACTGACTGAAGCTACTTCTGCTACAGCTAGTGCTACTGCTGCAGCTCCTACTCCAGCACTTACTGCAGCTGCTCCTGACTGAAGCTACTGCTGCAGCTCCTACTACTTCACTTGGTACAGCTAGTACTACTGCTGCAGCTCCTACTACTTCACTTGCTACAGCTAGTGCTACTGCTGCAGCTCCTACTACTGCACTTGCTACAGCTAGTGCTACTGCTGCTGCTGCTGCTGCTCGGTCTGCTGCTGCTGCCCGAGCCGCCCTGCTACTGCTGCTACTGGAGGGAGTACTGCTGGGAGTGGTGGAGGTGCGGCCTCCCACCCCCACCGAACCGCCCTGCTGCTGTTACTACTGCTGCTGCTGCTACTTGTGCTACTGGGAGTGGAGGAGGTGCTGCTGGGAGTGTAGGAGGTGCTGCTGGCGCTGTAGGAGCTGGAGGTGCTGGAACTACTCCTGACAGTCACTGTCTGTCATGGCCACTTCCGCGGCAGTCGCTGCGCCCAGGGGTGGACAGCAGCGGGCACTGCTTCTCCCGGACGACCCCACCCCTCAGCAGCTTCGTGAGTGGGTTATTCAGCGAGGTCGTCCTGGTGGTGGAGGTTATCGTTATGTTAAGACCGCTGCTCTTGGTGTTAGTGAGTCTGCTGCCACTCCAGGTGTTAGTCAGTCTGCTGCCACTCCAGGTGTTAGTGAGTCTGCTGCCACTCCAGGTGCTAGTGAGTCTGCTGCAGCTCTAGGTGCCCGTGAGTCTACCGACGCTCTAGTTGCTAGTGCGTCTACTACCACAGGTCCTGCCTCAGCTGAGGTCTTGCACACGTTCACGCTTGACTCCGGCGCGTCACGTTGCTTCTTCCGTGATTGCACCACAGTCACACCACTCACAGCACCTGTCCCAGTCTCACTGGCTGACCCCTCTGGGGGCCCAGTGGTTGCGAGAGCCTCCACGGTCCTCCCTTGTCCAGCAGTCCCCTCCGGCTCTTTGTCAGGTCTCCACCTCCCCACGTTCTCGACGAACTTGGTGAGCAACGCTGCCATTCAGGATGTATGGGTTGATACCTTTATTCCTGGAGGGCAGCGTGTGGCGATCTGTACGTGCTCCCGGACTGGCCGTCACCTGGCTACGTTCACTCGACAGCCTGGGTCTAGTCTGTACACACTGACCACTGCGTCTGCACAGGTGGCTGAGTCAGGTCAGGTAGCTACGTCGAGTCGAGCGTCTGCGTCAGGGCAGTTAGCTGCGTCTTGCTCGTGCCGAGTACTCACGCACGAGACTCAGCGCTGGCACCACCGTCTTGGTCACCCCTCCCTGCAGCGTCTGCGCCGCATGCACTCCCGACTCCTGGTCACTGGCCTCCCTGAGACCCTGCCCCCCCTCCCGCGCTCACTTGCGCCGCCGTGCCTTCCTTGCGTCGAGGGGCGGCAGCGCGCCGCTCCTCACTCCTCCGAGTTTCCTCTGACCACTGCTTCTCTGCAGACTCTCCACATGGACGTGTGGGGCCCGGCCCCCGTCGGTGGAACGGACCAGGAGCGCTACTTCCTGCTGGTGGTTGACGACTACACACGCTACACCACAGTCTTCCCCTTGCGGCGCAAGGCGGATGTCAGTGGTGTCTTGATCCGCTGGATCCGTGCTACTCGTCTCCAGCTGCACGAGCGCTTTCAGCAGGACTTCCCAGTCCTGCGTCTGCACTCTGACAGGGGTGGTGAGTTCTCCTCTGGCGTCCTTGAGACGTTCTGCCAGGATGAGGGCATCCGCCAGTCGTTCACGCTTCCGGCCTCTCCGCAACAAAATGGGATCGCTGAGCGTCGCATTGGCCTGATCATGGAGGTTGCTCGTACCTCCATGATCCATGCGGCTGCTCCCCATTTCCTGTGGCCGTTTGCGGTCCGATACGCCGCGCATCAGCTCAACCTCTGGCCCCGTGTCTCTGCTCCAGAGACCTCGCCCACACTCCGTTGGACGGGACAGCCTGGTGATGCGTCGTCGTTTCAGGTCTGGGGCGCGCTCTCCCTTGTTCGCGATACCAAAGCGAGCAAGCTCTCCCCTCGCACTCTCCGCTGTGTCTTCCTGGGCTTCCCCACCGACGCTCCACCCTGGCAGTTCTACCACCCTGCCTCGCGTCGTGTTCTGTCCTCTCAGGATGTCACCTTTGACGAGTCGGTCTGTTACTACCGACTTCACCCGCACGCGTCCCACCCGGTCCCTCTCGCACCTCTCTTCCTGGTACCAGTCCCCCCCCCGGTAGACCCCCTTCCCCCACAGGGTCCTGCTCCCTCAGGTGTGTCCCAGGTAGACCCACCCCCCTTGGATGAGCCAGTTGAGATCTCTTCTGACTCCTCTGACTCACCTGAGGGGGGTGACGCCGTCGCCGACGACACGGCGACCACTCGCCGCACTCCTCGCTTGGAGACCCCCCCGGGTTTCCCGCCACGGCCGTCTTCGCCGCCTCTGCAGCCTGCTGCTGTGGACACTGGAGCAGAGACTGAGGGTACTGGGCCTGGGGGTGCTGGGACTGAGGGTACTGAGCCTGGGGGTGCTGGGACTGAGGGTACTGAGCCTGGGGGTGCTGGGACTGAGGGTACTGGGCCTGAGGGTGCTGCGACTGAGGGTACTGAGCCTGCGAGTGCTGAGACCGAGGGTGCTGCCTCTGGGGGTGCTTCGAGTTCGAGTGCTGACTTTGGGGGTGCTGCGAGTCCTTCTGGTGTTGGTGTCGTCGGAGCTCCTACCGGAGGACCTGGAGCTACTGGTGCTGGAGGTACTGGAGGTACTGCTGGTGCTGGAGGTCCTGGAGGTGCTGCTGGTGCTGGAGGTCCTGGAGGTGCTGGAGGTACTGGAGGTGCTGCTGGTGCTGGAGGTCGGGGAGCTGCAGGTGCTGCTGGTCCTGGTGGAGCTGCTGGTGCTGGAGGTACTGGAGGTGCTGCTGGTGCTGGAGGTCGTGGAGCTGCTGGTGCTGGAGGTACTGGAGGTACTGCTGGTGCTGGAGGTCGTGGAGCTGCTAGAGCTGCTGGTGCTGGAGGCGCCGAAGCTGCTGGGGCTGGAGGTGCTGGAGGTGCTGGAGGTCCTGGTGGAGCTACTGGTGCTCTTCGCCACCTTCTCAGTCTTCAGCCAGGTGCTACTGGCTTCCCTGTGGCAGGTACTACTCCTCCGTTGCTGTGTCCACCGGCGGACCAGTCACAGCCGCCGCTGCTACCACACTCCCCACTGCCTGCTCCTGCTCCTTACACTGCGGTGTCAGAGTCCCTGACTGAGCGTCGAGAGCCTGAGTCTAGCTTTGACCTTGAGCCTGAGCCTAGAGCTGCTGTCCGTGCTCGTGTTCCTCGTGTTCGTCGTCAGCGTGCTCCGGCTGTCCCCGGCACTCACGATATGAGACTCCGTCCTTCCTCTGTTCCTCAGCGTGTTGTCCTACCGTTACCTCCTGCGTCTTCTTTGCCTGACGTTGCTGACCCTCCGTCTGACCTTACTCGTGCGTCCAGTCCGACTGTTACTCGCCTTCTTGCTACGGTTGTGACGGACCCTACGTTCTCGTCTCCTGCTGCGTCTGCCCTAGTAGCTGATCTCGTTGACTTTGCTGCTGTGTACCGCCTAGACTACCTTACGAGTCTTGTCTCTGACCCTGTCCCTGCCTGTCCTCCGTCCGTCGGGGGTGAGACTGCTCTTGGCTGCACTGCCCTTGGCTGTGACGTTCTTGAGGACAGACAGGAGGAGTTGGAGTGCCTTGCTGCCACTTCACCCCATCACGCGACCATGCTGCTTGCCCCTGAAGGAGACCCGGATGCACTTGACATCCCCACCCCGCGCTCCTACAGGGAGGCGATTTCGGGTGAGTACTCCTCTCAGTGGCAGACAGCCATGGACGCAGAGATGGCTTCCTGGAAGTCCACAGGCACCTACGTCGACGAGGTTCCCCCACCTGGGGCGAACATCGTCAGTCGCATGTGGATTTTCAGGGTGAAGCGGCCGCCGGGTTCTCCGCCTGCCTTCAAGGCACGTTACGTTGCTCGAGGCTTCAGTCAGCGTGAGGGGGTCGACTTCTTTCAGACCTTCTCCCCCACCCCGAAGATGACCACTCTTCGGGTGTTGCTACACCTTGCAGCTCAGCGTGACTACGAGCTGCACTCCCTCGACTTCTCGACAACTTTCTTGCAGGGTAGCCTTCACGAGGCCATCTGGTTGCGCCGTCCACAGGGCTTCACTGGGTCGTTTCCTGCGGGTACCAAGTGGAGCCTACGGCGACCAGTGTACGGCCTGCGTCAGGCGCCCCGTGAGTGGCACGACACACTGAGGACGACACTTGCGGCTCTCGGGTTTGCTCCTTCGACTGCTGACCCGTTGCTGTTTCTACGCACCCACACTACTCTGCCGCCGTTCTACATCCTCGTCTACGTCGACGACTTGGTTTTTGCTACTGCTGACATTGAGGCACTGACCCTAGTGAAGGCGGAGCTGCAGGAGAGACACACCTGCACTGACCTGGGTGAGCTGCGGAGCTATCTTGGCTTGCAGATCACCCGGGACAGAGCACGGCGCACCATCACCCTGACTCAGTCACACATGGTGCACCAGGTCCTTCAGCGCTTCCGCTTCACGTACTCCTCGCCACAGCCCACTCCTCTGGCTACCGGCCACTCGCTCTCAGCTCCACCTTCGGACGAGTCCGTAGAGCCGAGTGGTCCGTACCCAGAGCTTGTGGGCTGCCTCATGTACCTGATGACGTGCACACGACCTGACCTCGCATATCCTCTCAGCCTTCTGGCTCGCTACGTGGCACCCGGCAGGCACCGAAAGGTGCACTTTGATGCTGCGAAGAGGGTACTGCGTTACTTGTGCAGCACATCGGGCATGGGGCTCGTGCTTGGAGGACGGGGTCCTGTGGTCCTCACAGGACACTCTGACGCTTCTTGGGCTGACGACCAGGCGACTCAGCGTTCGTCACAGGGCTACACCTTCAGTCTTGGCGCTGGTTCTGTCTCGTGGAGGTCCACTCGTTCTTCTTCTGTGCTTGGTTCCAGCTGTGAGGCCGAGATCTACGCTGGGGCCATGGCTGCACAGGAGCTCCGTTGGCTGACCTACCTGCTGTCCGACTTGGTGGAGCGGCCTCGTTCTCCTCCAGTTCTGTACGTCGACAACAAGGCAATGCTTGCCTTGTGTCGCGAACAGAGACTGGAGCACAGAACGAAGCACATTGCTCTGCGCTACTTCCTTGCGCGTGAGCTGCAGCAGCGTGGTCAGCTGCGCCTTGCTTTCGTGGCCTCTCAGGCCAACACTGCTGATGTCTTCACCAAGGCCCTTGCGGCTGGTGATCATCAGCGTTTCTGCACTGCTCTTGGGCTTGTGCCCACTCTGCCTCACCTGCTGGTTGCTTGACTTGCTCTTGTTGTACACTGCTATATATCTTTATACCTGCATGTTTCCTCTTGCTAGGTTGTGATCTGTGTACTGCCTTGCTCTTATAAATCTGCATGTGAACTGGCCTTGTGGCTGCCTGCTTGTGCTCAGATTGTGTGGTGTCCTTGAGATCCACCCTGGGCTTTGCCTTGCTTGTTCTCTTGCTTGACTGGTCTTGTGACCACTGTTAGGCTTGGCTATCCCCTACTTCACCTATGGGGGTGTGTCAAAACATATTGTTCTGCTTATTTCACTCTAGGTTGTGTAGGGTTCTTTCCTTAGAGGGTACAACAATCTCTCTCGATAGTCCTTGTACCCCCCCCTTACCTAATCGAACCCACTCATCTAGCTTGTAACTCTAACATGTAAATGTCATGAAGTGTATTTATGAATACATACATGGTCCGGTCCAGTCTGGAGTACAATTTGTACATGATTGGAGAGCGTTACCGTATGAGATGCCCTTGTGTGTGCAATGAGTTCCATTGTGCACCATTCATGTGAATCAACCACTCACACATGTACAACATCGAAATTGCCGTGCTGACGTAATTGCGTGTGGTCTTCTTTGTACACTGACACAAATACATTACAAAAACCAGCGCACCTGCTTATAACCTGAAGTGGATAACTGTGTATCTTGTCCAACACCACTAAACCTCATCTCCAGCAGCACACCTCCCAACACTGCCGTCAACTCCCATAAGTCCATCGGCCTGCCTTTGCCAACCACCTCGTCTGATTCGACTCAAAATTCCCCTCCCCCTCCGGTCCACACTCACTAACACCGCCGCCACCATCACAGCCCCTCCTGAAACCGTTGTCAGCACCCAGAAATTAGCACCAACACCACAAGCTGCATTCCCTGCTGCAACGACTCCTGCACTCCCCCCACCGCGCCTCTCTCCTCCTCCACCACCGCCCCCTGCACCATCTGCAGCACAGACAGATCAAACACCCAGAGAGGAGCTCGGGAGAACACCACTCCTGCCATCAGCAGCACTGCAGGGATCGGCCCTGATGACTGGAGAACCCATCCTGCGACGACACATGGCAGGAGGCACGCCAGCTGGGACCACACGGAGGCCTCGGCGGTCCGGCTCGGTCCGAGCCTGGCGCAGAGGCTCGGGAAGAAGGTTGCTCCGAGCACGCCGGTGACAGCTGCGGCGCCGCTTGCCGAGCCTAGGAGACCGAGCGGGACGCCTTGGGAGTGGAGGTAGGCGCACATGAGGGATCCGAAGGAGAGGACGGTGAGGTAGAGAAGGGCGAGGGCGAGGGAGGGGAGGAGGGAGGTCTGGCGGAGGTAGATGGTCCAGGCGGATCGAAGGGTGGTCAGCCAGGAGGTGAGGAGGAGGCGGAGGTGGTGGAGGGAGGAGGGCAGGTGGTTTACGAAGGCTGGAGCGATGGAGGGGATGGGTGGAGGCTTGCTGCTGCTGCTGCAGCTGGTGGCGGCAGTGGTGGTGGTGGTGGTAATGATAGGGGGCGTTGGAATAGTGGCTGAAGGGACCAGCATCTGCCTATCTCCTGCCTCATGCTCATCGTTCACTTGAGCATTCAGAAGACTCGAAACATCCCCTGCAGTATGCTTGTTGTCCACTCCAAGCCCCACCCCCCTCCTCTTCCTCTTCTCCCTCTTCTTCCTCCTCGTCTTCCTCCGCTTCCTCCTCCCCTCCCTCACCTTCCCTCTCCTCCTCACCAGCCCTGTCGACCTTCCCCATCTCCTCCTCTCCGCCTCTCCCCTTCCGCCTCTCCCCCAGTGCGGGCACCTGCGAGTGGACGAGCGCCAGCAGCAGCAGCTCTGCAGCAGCGGCCACGAGGACCCACACGGCCATGGCGAGCGGCAGAGACACGGGCAGCAGCTCAGGGCGCGGGGATGAGGCGGGGGAAGGGGAAGAGGCGGAGGCAGAGGAGGTGGAGGCGGAGGCAGAGGAGGCGGAAGCGGCGGCCATGAGGGCGCCAGTGAGGGCAGGCGCGAGCAGGCGGCAGAGCAGGTCGATGGTGCGCAGGGTGGAGTTGAGCCGTGCTCGCACACGCTCCCTCTGCTCACACCCCTGCTGCTCCTCCTCCTCTTTCTGTCCCTCCAGCTGCCCCTCCAACTGCCCCTCCTGCTGCCACTGTTGCTGCCCACTTAGAAGCTCCTCTGCATGCACTGCCTTGTCCCTGTGACTAGCATCTGCCACCTCCCGCTCCCCTGCTTCGCTCAAGCCGCTCTTGCCCCCAACGTGCGTCTGAAATTGGTGTTTCCCGCCCTCCTCTCTCTGCCCCTCCTCTCTTCCCCTCTCCTCTCTCCCCTCCTGTTTCCCATGCCGCGCTGATTCGTTACAAGCCAACCCCACCTCCACTATTCCCTCTCTCTCCCCTTCGTCTTGTCCCCTGTCCTCCCATTCCCCCTGCCGCCCGCTTCCCCCATTCGCAGCACCTTCCTGCTCGCAAACCCAATCCGCAATCACCACGGCCCAATCACGCTCCACCGCGATCCCGCGCGCCAATCCGGCGAGAGCAGCCGCGGCGCCCAGCACGCAAACCGCCGCCACCAGCGCCACGTCAGCTCCCGTTTCGGCTGCTCCAGCCACCCATGCGAATAGCTCGGACCCAGCGGGACTCGCGGCGGCGGGTGCGGCGAGATAGTCGGCGAGGTAGAGGAGAGCGGCGACGGCAATCGCGGCGAGAAACAGAGCGGCGTTTTGAGCGGAGATCGCGAAAGCAGCTAGCGGTAAACGCGGGCAGAGATCCACCCACGTTCCTATGGGAACGGAAAATAAAGACATCGCGAGCGACTCGGAGAGGCCGTAAAGCGCCACGAGCAGCAAAGAGGCGGATGCAGCAGTGCGACTACTACCGGAGGTGACTGTAGCGGAGGAAGAGGAAGCTGACGTGGCAATGTAAGAGGAGTCTAGCAAAAAGAGCGGCACGGCGAATTCCCACATGCGATTGGTCCATCGGGAGAGGAAGTGAGAGATGTAAAGCGCGAGGAGAGTCAACTTAGTAGGAAGCTTCGAGGAAAGCCTCGGAGAGAGGGCGGCCTGGAGGGCGTTAACGAGCTGAACGACTCGACGCGGAAGCGGCACAGAGTGATTGTATCGACCTGTGCGCTGCGCGCGCTTGGCTTTTCTTCTTTTCGTTCTGAACTTGGTTAGCGATTGGTTTGCGAGAGGAGCGGAGGAAGGAGCATCGCCAGCCAATAGAAGCGTCTCCTCGAGACCAACACTGCTGCTGCTACTGCTGATGCTGCATAGCGGATCTGCGGATTTATCTCCTGAATCCGCTCGGAAACCGCATTCTCCAGCCATGTACGCGATTCCTGGTCTGCGGTACGATCGTGTGCTCCTTCACGCGAATCACTTCCGAGAATTCTCAAAACTGCTCGGCAGCACTTCCCTCTTCCTCCTCCTCCTGCGACTCTCAGTCGGGTTCTCTCAAACAACTTTCCAGACGACTCAAAACTTTCGCGACCCTGGATCAATGCCTCCAGTCGACTCAGAGCATCTGTGACTTGGAGGGGTATGATTAACAGGCGACGATTTTAGGAGCTTTGAGACGCCTCAAAACTCAAGTGGTCGGATCAAAAGCAGGCGTTCAACGGAGCCTGCGAGGCCTATGGAGCTGCCTTTAGAGAGAAATGAAGCGAGTAATCGAGTAACCATCGAAGTGAGTGAATGGTGCCTTTCAACCTCGGCCACAAACGGACCGTCCTCGGTTCTTCCCCTCCCCAGAAAACGAGGAAAGGCGAGACGCACGTGCTCGTCTTCCGCGCCGTCTCTCCATCGTCGCCTCCAGAATGAACATGTCATGAATCGGTGAAACAACCGAAACGGGAGAGAGGCCTTAGCAGTGTGAAACATCGGCGGAAGACAATGCAACAATGACGCAACGTAATGCTCTACGATTGCGCGTTCCATTTCTCTCTGGTGTTGCATGTGCTGTCGAGCTACTGTAGTAGGGAAGGGAAAGGGGGAGAGGGAGCGGAGGTGACCAGAGGAAGTTGTGTGTCGGTGTCACGGCAGGGAGTTTGTCGAATCTTGTGCGTCGAATTCCACACGTGTGGCTAGAAAAGCCTCGAGATCGCCATTCCAGTTCTGACCAGAAGCAACCAATCAGCAAGAAGCAGATCTACAGCTCTCGCTACGACAATTTCATGTGAAGTTTCGGGATCAGTAAAAGGGGCTCCCACAAGCATGATGCGAAATCCGATGTAGTAATTTTATTCAGCAGTAGTCTGATAAATACATGAAGTAGCAACAAAAGTTTAGTTCAAGGTCTTCAATAGTTGGGGGATGCAATTAAAAGGTCACCACAAAACATAACATACAGGGGTCATTTCATACACGACACTTTGCCTTAATGACTACAAGCTATTTGCTACGGTGTTAGTCCCTCTTGGACCTCCGGGTACCTGGAGCTTGTATCGAGGCCTCCGCTAAAATGATGCGCGCCCAGCAGCGCCAGAGAATGAGAAACGGCACCAAAATCCAGATGGCGTTCATGCCAACAAAGTAGCCCCAGAAGTAGATCGGATGAGGGTCCGAGTGTGGAAAGCCTTCCAAGTAGCTCGTGGCGAAGTACACAGCTGCTCCGTACAGCTGCCCGAGAGACACAGTGAACTGCAGCAGATTGCTAAAGGGCTTCCTGGCCGCCATGGCGTACCTGCATGCAAAAAGTTGAACACAAAAACATTACGGTAAGTCTCAACGAGCGCTAGGAGGACAGCAATAAGAGCCAGAAAATTCAAGCCTTCAAAGAAAAGGATTGAAAAGCAGACTCACAGAATGAGGATGCAGGCAGGGCCTTCGATGAAGGCAGTGACTGCCTCGAGAGAGACGATGCAGGTGTCACGAGTGGCATATCGTGAATCCGATATGGCATACTCCTTCCCTGCATGGAAGTGAAGAGCAGGGCCAAAAAGAGGCGAAAATAATCAATTAGACCTGATCAGAAAGTGCATGGAGGAATGGTCTAAAAACTAAAAAAAAAAAAGAGTTTAAAAGTGGGTTAAGACACAGCACGGGCGTGGCGTGGGGAGAACTAATGTGAATGGGGGACTAGGCTAATGTGGATATATGAGTAATTAAACCAAGGGAGAGAAGGCAAATGGAGAACAATTAGGCGTACAGGCATCGAGGAGGAACGCCTTGCTGGTGCTGCTGATGAGGGCGGGGAAGGCGACAAATGCTCCCTCCATGAGCATGTGAATGGCGCCCGTCACGGCCCACCAGCTAAACGTGAACCGCTCCGATGCTGACAGATGGCGACATGAGCCTGAAGGAAAGGGGAAAGTGGTGGGGGGGGAGGGGGGGGGAGAGGGGGAGGGGGGAGGGGAGGGGGAGGGAGAAGAGGGCGGGGGTGGGGAGGGACAATGAGAGGGGACTATGAGCCTGAAATGGGTGGTGATGAACTTATACGGACAATGACAATGAGAGGGGGAAAGCGTAAGAAGAGGCTACCAACACGGGTCAGCAGGCGAAACGATGAGCCTCTGTAACACCGATTAGTGAGAATAGTAGGTGTCAGGCGGGAAGATCAGAGGGTTGACGGAGAATGAGGAATGGTGGAAGCTGGAACGATCTGACTTCTCAGGCGAGATCTGAATTGCGTGCTGCTGACTACAAGACAGACAATGCTGGACTGGACGCGAACACTTGCATCCGGAAAAAGCGTGCGCCTAATACGTGGACTCACGAGCGAAGAGCCATGAGAGCGTGAAGATCAGCCCGACGGCCACCCCGAAAACGCCGAAGAGCTCCGCCGTGCTCCACGCTGGAGGCACGTAGTCCGGCAACACGATGTCACGCGGATAGTACGGATGCGCGACGCCGCCTGCCATGGTCAACGGACAAGCGTGATGCTGTTCGATAAATAGCTGGTCGATAAATGTTAATGCTTCCTGACCAGCACCACGTGGCGGCTTCTGAAGGCACCCGCAGAGCAGAAGCAGCCTCGACCGTTGAGATTCAGACAGACGCTCTTCATCCTCAGGCGAGTGTGGGTGTAAGGCGTGCAGTGTGGTTTACGACGGTGAATGCTTGTTTTTGTGTTCAACGCTTTTCACCATGAACCACCAAAGTGTACCGTCTATAACGAATATCTGGACGCTGTCAAGAGATGTTAGAGCGCTGGGCTGAAAAAATCGATATATTTATACCTCCTACTTATTACAGTGAGTATGTACCTTATGTGGTCCTATGTCATTCTGATGAACATAATCATTCCAACAAACATGGCGAGAAGAAAGATAATGGCCAGCCACGTAGACAAGCCAGTGCAAAACCCCTGCCGGGCCAACCGTGAAGCCCTCTGATTGGCCCGACTCAGGCCGGCCACGTTTCTCTCCATCGATTCCTCAGTTGCATCAAGAACCTGCACGGACAGATGAAATCAACAAAACTAATTTATTTAGATACTGAAATAAAGCAGCAAAAAATAGGGATCAAGTGCTTGGTAAAGCTCCAATTTAAACACGTGCAACTGCATGAATGACATGGCGGCAGCGTGTCACCTTATTGGAGCTTTTGACTTTCTGCTCCATGGCGAGCGAGTTGGCCTTCATCTGCCCTGCCAGCGTCAACATCTGATCCGACAGCTCCTCCTGAAGATTCCTGGAGGGGACAAAGGAGAAGAGAGGGAGAAAGAAGCAACAGGTGGGTAAAGGAAGCAAACATGAAGGGAAAGGGAGGAACGTGAGGAATGGTGAAAGAGAGAGAAAGGGAGTGGAAGGGGGAAGGGTAGGGTGGGATGAGGGGGGCAGGGGAGGGTGTGGAGAACAGTGAGATAGGAATGCGGGCCGGCAAGTGGTAGGGGTTGTGGGGAGGGAGGAGAGGGGGGACCTGGGGAGTGAACGCGCCAGCAAGAAGATGCAAGGACCGCTGCAAGTATACTACAGAGCATTACTTATGGGTTGTAATGATTGCTCTTGATGCGTCGTCCAGGGAGGATCCAGGGAGAGAAGAACCTGATTGGCGATCCCTTGACGACGGCCTGACAGACAGACAGACCAAACAGTGCACACATGGAAAAGAGCTACCGAGTTGAGTGGAAAACCAACACACAAGGAACTGGATGGAGTTGTGGGACGTCTCAAATTGCACCAACCAACACAAGGGACTGGAAAACGATATCAGATTATTTAGAACACAAACAACCGAGAATATGTACAAAAAAAAGAAGCCGAGTTGAAAATTACATCACACACGCTTTGATGCATGAAGCACACTTCAACACCACACCATTTAGAAACATATCAGACGTTCGGATCTGTCATGCATGCATGACGTCATGACCATCACCTACCCACGTATGCATGCATGGCACCACGGCCGCCACCTAGTACCTACCCACGCCGATCCCTCAACAGGCGGCGGCGTGATCGAAGGCCCAACGCCTCCCTGCCTTGCCGACCCTCAAAAGCTGCAGATGATGGTGCACAGCCCCATGAGGCACCTGCATCAGTTCCTCCTTGCTGCTGCTGCTGCTGCTGCTGTGGTTGAGATTGAGCAGGCTTGATTCCTCTGAAGGTTGAAGACAGGTTGGGATGTTGAGGTACCAAGGCGTCCAGCTGGCAGTCGTCCTGAAGAGGCAGGCTGTCTGGCATGTGCCACATGTCAGGCTGTGGTTGGTGAGATGAGGTGCAAGAAGACATATCGCTTCGGTGATTAGAAAAGAAAGTTACAAAGCACACAACGGAATTGCAAGACTGAGCAGTGAAGCTGAGTCAGTCAGCTGACAGAACGTTCTATGCTGCCTAGAAAACCACTGGCAAAAAAAAAAAAAAAAAAACGATTTTACGATTCATACAGTTCATGAGTCATGCGAATCACACGAATCATACAGATCATGTTACTCAGTTACCAGCACGTGCTCCTCCAGCAAGTCAGCCAGCAAGGTGATTCGCTGCAGGTACGCCTCCGCCCTTGCTGTCTGGGCTTGCGCTGCTGCCGAAACAGGGAGGCTGCAGAATGGGACGCAACGCAGCGGCAAGGGAACCGGAAACGATTGCACAGCATCGTGTGGAAAGGGATGTTGTAAGCTGCAGTGTAGAATTACTAAGATTAATAAAGGAATGTGATGACGTGATACTGGAACAGGGTAGCAGGGAAGGACTGGAGCAGGGTGGGACTGGAGCAGGGTAGGAGGAGTGGAGGAAGGGCAGGACTGGAGCAGGGCAGGACTGGAGCAGGGCAGGACTGGAGCAGGGTAGGACTGGAGCAGGGCAGGACTGGAGCAGGGTAGGACTGGAGCAGGGTAGGACTGGAGCAGGGTAGGACTGGAGCAGGGTAGGAGGAGTGGAGGAAGGGCCACACCTCCACGGCGTCGCAGGTAACGTCGTCATAAAGGGCGATCAAGGTGGAAACCTCAGCAATGATACACTTACCGAATGCGTTCCTACTGTGGATGGTCAAGCTGTATGTGACTTTTGAGTCGACTCAAAAGGCAAGCTGTAAGTGGGGGGACAACAACACGAAGCTATTTGACGAAAAAAAAAAAAAAAGGCAAACGAAATGCTGTTGTCCTTGCTGACGCCTGTACGTTGCAGACCGGCCTGCTGAGCCTGCTCCTTTGAGGCGCCTCAGAAGTGGTCGCTTAACCCGAAACTGGCAAACAGAATGCTGTTGTGCTTGCTGACACCTGTACTGTACCTTGCAGACCGGCCTGCTGAGTCCGCTCTTGACTCCTGCTGCAATTGCGCGAAGAGCTCGCGGAGATACGCGACGTACTGAGGGAGAGCGGGATTGGCATAGGGATTGACGAACGGAACTGAAAGGCTTGAAGGTAAGGATGGGAGGCTAGGTCATCAGTTGAGAGGCACAGTTGGACGCGATCAAGGCATACAGCCTGCGTCCTGATTCCTGAAACACATCTGTGGTGCGATCGACGGCTCCAACAATCCGTGACCGAAAGAGCTGTAATGGAAGGATATCCGTGAACGGCAGAGCTGTGAAATGACCCCAATTTGTTGCAGGTATTCTCAGAAAACACCTGCAACGAAAGAGATGTAACGAACACATATCCGCGAACGGCAGAGCTGTGCAATGTTTGTGTCACTTTTGAGAATTCTCAAGCGTGAAATGTCCCAACGGCTCGAAATCTCTCTCACCCACGTTGTGGAACTTGAAATCTCGTTGCAGCTCGGCTGCTGATTGGCTCCGTGCGATGCGCTCGCAGCATCGCAACAGGCGGTAAAGGTCTACTTCCAATCGCGTACAGGGAGTCGGCAAAGGCGGAAACTGCTCTAGCGCAGGCAAGGCCGTGCCTTGACTGTCTGGCACTTCCTGTGGTTGTCCCTCATAGTTTAAGAAAGGCGGCGGTGGCGCTGTTTGTAGGCCATTTGTAAGTGACATGATGGTGAGACACGTGACGAGGAGAAGCTATTGTGGAGTCGAGGTTTCTAAATCAGGCAACCAAGGCTAGCTTTTAGAAGCTCGCCGTTGCACAGGAAGGGAAGGGTGTAATTCGGGGGGTGCTTCCGGATGTACGCGGTATGGAGCTACAATTCCGGAAATGAGATCTGGATGGCGTAGCAATTCTGTATGTTCGTATATATCAGAGAAATTTTCATGGTTCTCGTCCTTGACCATTCCTCACCACCTTCACTGTAACAAGGGAAACCACGTGGTAGCCCATGTGTCCACGTGGAACGCGCGCCGCAATTCATCCTCCAGCGCGGCATGCACCACAGCGATTTTGCGAGATGCATGGAGATCTATCATTCGCGCAGCAACACAACACGGTTACTATCAATTCGCAGCCATAGATTGTACTCACGAAAGGCTCTGTAATGTCGCCAACACAACCATGTCCCTTCGTTTGGCTTCAATCATTCACAGCAGCAAACCAAACGGAATTCTTCGTCTGCTGGATTCACTTCACTGGCCCATCCTCGAAATCCTAAAGATAGCTAAGGCGGAAGATTCTAGGAGCTCCCTTGCCTTGTATGCCCCTTACCTCTTCCCACCTCTTCCATTTGCACGGTTCCCTTCTCATTTCAGAGCGCTCGTCGCTGCTCGTAGTCAAGTCACGCCATTATGGATCGCTCATCGTTGCTTCCGCAGACCGCTGCCAGACCGCGAACAGCCTTCGCATACGTTCCGCTGGCGTTGACCTTGGGATTATTCACCTTCCTTTTCGTCTCGCGTCTCGCTTACGAATCTCGAGACGCGGGTTCGTCGTTGGACGGTCGCGATGAGGATGGGTTGAGCAGCGGGTTTCTGCCGAAGCTCTTCTCGCTCGTGTCCAATGAGAGCCTCGCGTTGCACCTTCGGGAGCTCACCGCCAAGCCGCACATCGCGGGCACCCCCGAAAACTTCGAAACTGCCCGTTACGTCAAGGAGAAATTCGAGGTATGAATTTGAGACTCTACGGATAGGATTTGCATTCAGTCTCCACGCGTCACATGCGCGCATCAACTTCTGTCTTCTCCCCTTTCACCTCCCCCTTCACCTTCCCGCATCCCACGGCAGTCGTACGGCCTTCGAGCGCACTACGCGGACTACCCCGTGCTGCTCTCCTACCCGCTGCGCCAGTCGCTCCGCCTCGTGCGCCCCGTCGCGCGCAACTTCTCGCTGCGCGAGCAGCCCGTCCACGGCGACCCGTTCAGCGCCTCGCGCGCCGCCACTGATCCTTTTAACGCGTATTCCGGTAGCGGGAGGGTGGGTGGGAAGGGGGCGGGAGAGGCGGAGGGGGAGGGCGCGGGGGAGGGGGAGGCGGAAGGAGCGGCGGTGGTGTATGCGAATTATGGGCGCATGGAGGATTTTGAAGAGCTGGTGGCGGCGGTTGGGGAGGAGCAGGTGAAGGGTACAGTGGCGCTGATTCGTTATGGGAAGACTTTTAGAGGGGATAAGGTGAGCCTCTACAGTTAGAATGTATTCCATCAGCAAGCGGGACTCTCTTTAGTGAAGCAGCATTCCACTTCCCAGCCCAATTTTCCCCCTGCCCGCACCTCTCTCCCCTAATTCACGAGCGTTCATCCTTTCGTACCAAACCTGTCCGTCAGGTTCGGAATGCGGAGAAGTTTGGCGTGGCAGCGGTGCTGCTGTATTCCGATCCAGCGGACTATGCTCCAGAGGGCACCGACGAAGCGCATGTGTACCCGCAGCAGCAATGGCTGCCCGCCACTGGCGCTCAGAGAGGCACCATCTACACAGGTACTTACTTCCATGCTGATGCGATTATGCAATGGTCTTCTTCATACGTGCACCACCATGCGCCATGCACCACCATGCGCCATGCACCATGCGCCATGCACCATGCGGACTATGCAGTGCCCGGCTGGCCGTCCCACCCTGGTGGGGAAAGGTTATGTGACGAAGAAACAGCCAAGCGGCGTCCACACATCCCGGTGTTGCCGGTGGGGTGCAGCGTGGGGGGGGCTGTGATGGCGCACATGGGGGTTGGAAGATGATGCACGCACGCACATGCTGTGTTGTGATGCGCAGTGCTCCCCATCCCTCCCCTCTCCGTCCCTTCTTTCCTCCAGGCAAGGGCGACTCAGCCACGCCCGGCTGGCCGTCCCACCCCGGCGGGGAGAGGCTGAGCGATGAGGAGACGGCTAAGAGGCTTCCACGCATCCCGGTGCTGCCGGTGGGGTATGCGGTGGCGGGGGCGGTGATGGCGCACATGGGGGAGATGGTGGTGCCCGAGGAGTGGCGAGGCGGCATGGATGGCGTGCAGTATGTGTTTGGGCCGGGACCCGCTGCCGTGGACGTTGAGGTGCAGGTGAGTGCACCCCAAGGGGGGGGGCGGGTGGCCGGTGGGGTATGCGGTGGCGGGGGCGGTGATGGCGCACATGGGGGAGATGGTGGTGCCCGAGGAGTGGCGAGGCGGCATGGATGGCGTGCAGTATGTGTTCGGACCCGGGCCTGCTGCTGTCGACCTGGAGGTGCAGGTGAGGGTGCGCACTTGGGGAGCGGGTGGGCGGTGGGGTATGCGGTGGCGGGGGCCGTGATGGCGCACATGGGGGAGAGGGCCGTGCCTGAGGAGTGGCGCGGCGACATGCCGGAAGTCCAGTATGTGTTTGGACCAGGACCTGCTGCTGTTGACCTGGAGGTGCAGGTGAGTGCGCCCTAAGGTGGGGGGGGCGGGGGAACGTGGGCGGTGGGGTACAGCGTGGGGGGGAGGCTTGATGGCGCACATGGGGGGGAGGGCGGTGCCTGAGGAGTGGCGAGGCGGCATGCCAGGCATGCAGTATGTGTTTGGGCCAGGACCTGCTGCTGTTGACCTGGAGGTGCAGGTGAGAGATTTTGTGGGGGAGTGGTTGCGCGCTGCGTGCTGCGTGGGACCATGCGTGCAATCGCTCTTGCACGTGCATGATACGTGTATCCGCCGTCATGCATTACGCACGCACCGTGAGTGTGGGGGCCATTACGCACAGTGAGTGTGGGGGCCATTACGCACAGTGAGTGTGGGGGCCATTACGCACAGTGAGTGTGGGGGCCATTACGCACAGTGAGTGTGGGGGCCATTACGCACAGTGAGTGTGGGGGCCATTACGCACAGTGAGTGTGGGGGCCATTACGCACAGTGAGTGTGGGGGCCATTACGCACAGTGAGTGTGAGTGTGGGGTTTCGCCATGCACCTTGCTTGAAGCCATCCATCCCACCTCATCCATCCCTCGTCTCCACTCTCATCCTTCACACCTGCTTGATTCTGCCTGCCCGCTCTCCCCATTATGTTTGGATCTTCCCCTACCGGGATCTTCCCCTACCGGGATCTACGCCTACCATCTGCTGCCGCGATAACAGATGAACGCCGCAGTGACCACAGGACCACAAATCCGCAACGTTACTGTTGATTTTTTTCATGAGTGTCTCCTCTCTCATCCTCCACACACCTGCATGTGTCTGCCTGCCCGCCCTGCCCATCCCCTCGTGTGATCCCCAGATGAACGCCACAGTGACCACCATCCGCAACGTCATTGGCGTGCTGCCAGGCTCCCACCAGCCGGACAGGTGAGCCGCGGGCAGAGGTGAGTGAGTGAGAGTGCCTGGTGGTCTGATGTGCCAGGTGAGTCTGATGTGCCAGGTGAGTCTGATGTGCCAGGTGAGTCTGATGTGCCAGGTGAGTCTGATGTGCCAGGTGAGTCTGATGTGCCAGGTGAGTCTGATGTGCCAGGTGAGTCTGATGTGCCAGGTGAGTCTGATGTGCCAGGTGAGTCTGATGTGCCAGGTGAGTCTGATGTGCCAGGTGAGTCTGATGTGCCAGGTGAGTCTGATGTGCCAGGTGAGTCTGATGTGCCAGGTGAGTCTGATGTGCCAGGTGAGTCTGATGTGCCAGGTGAGTCTGATGTGCCAGGTGAGTCTGATGTGCCAGGTGAGTCTGATGTGCCAGGTGAGTCTGATGTGCCAGGTGAGTCTGATGTGCCAGGTGAGTCTGATGTGCCAGGTGAGTCTGATGTGCCAGGTGAGTCTGATGTGCCAGGTGAGTCTGATGTGCCAGGTGAGTCTGATGTGCCAGGTGAGTCTGATGTGCCAGGTGAGTCTGATGTGCCAGGTGAGTCTGATGTGCCAGGTGAGTCTGATGTGCCAGGTGAGTCTGATGTGCCAGGTGAGTCTGATGTGCCAGGTGAGTCTGATGTGCCAGGTGAGTCTGATGTGCCAGGTGAGTCTGATGTGCCAGGTGAGTCTGATGTGCCAGGTGAGTGCGTGTGGAATGCCGGCTTGGCTGATCTCACAGATGAACGCCACAGTCACCACCATCCGCAACGTCATTGGCGTCCTGCCAGGCTCCCACCAGCCAGACAGGTGCGCTGCTGGGGGCAATGGTGAGGTGAGCGTGGAACGCTGGGTGTGTGAGCTGAGCTGAGCTGAGGTGAGGTGCCACCTTGAGTGGAATGAAACGACCATGCCTATCAGGTACTGGAATTCAGTTGCTGCGTGCCAATGGTACCAGTGCTGCCATTGGCACGCAGTAACTGAATTTCAGCTATTCCTGCATCACTTCTGAAATTTTGATGCATATTGTCCTCATCGTGTGTGTCCTTTGAGACGTCTCAAAAGTAGAAGCTTAAGCAACCGGGTTAAATTAACCTCCCTCGCCACCACCACCACGTGTGCAGGTACATCATTTTGGGCAACCATCGAGACGCATGGGTGTTTGGCGCTGCGGATCCCAACAGCGGCACCACGTGCTTGCTCGAGGTACCATGGCTCATCCCGATTGCGTCCATCGATTCTATTTCCGTTGCACTGTGCTGCATTGCATTGCATTGCATTGAATTGCATGCGCTCCCTTCCGTGTTGTACTCTACCATATTATCGATGCTGGATGGAAGTTCTTCTCCTTGTGAGCGTTTCTTTTGGATAGCTTCCAAGTTCGGCATCTTACAATGCTGAAATGAAATGT